CCAAAAAGACAGATCGATGACTGGATTAAAATCAATATAAAACAAAGAAATTTTAACGAAGTGCATGACCGAGTAGTTTGAAACAATAGGATTCAGTCTGCTAAGTTGTTTTGACAGTGTAGTACTACGATAAAGTACGACGATATTATAAGAAGATCCGATCAAGTAATTATTGCAAGATATCTCCATGGAGATATCTTGCACATACATATGTATACGGAAACACTAAAGTTCGTGAAATATATGGACAGATTTCACGAATAAAATAACAGGGGCTTGATTTCATTGCTTACAGAACAAAACCTTGTCTCAAATTTTCGAAGTATCACGGAATTAACATATCCCAAGGCATGATATATAGTATATATGTCCAAATACACCATTAAATTTATATCACTAATTATAAAAATGTAAACTTTGGAAGTAAAAGGTGGGGACCAATATTCGAAGTATACACACTAACATGCTATATCCAGTAATTCAATCACTGAAAAACGAAGTCAAGCCTTCGAACCTGAACTCAAGGTCAAACATGCGTATCCAAACATAGCTGGTAATTGTGAAATATACTGTTTACAATGATGTATTATCTACTCTGTATATCTGATAGCGTTACATGGACTTTAAAAGGAGTGGCTGAATACTTATAAATGTTGGGGAAAAACTTAAAACTTAGTGAGAAGGGCTCTGCGTAGTTTCATATTGGTGCATTGAGTTTAGATAGTGATAACCCATGTTGGCCCCCTACTTCTCTGGTTCTGAGTAGTGTCTAGTCCCTTTTGAATGAGGTAATGGAAGGCACAGATACCATTTGTTCCAGCAGCTGGCTTCGAAATTCGACAACTCTGTTAGACCTCTGAAGTCTGCTGTTGGATCTTTCAGTTCTTCTAACTGAAATTGAGGAAAAATAGGGGATAACTAAGATCTGAAATCATTTATTATTGTCGTGTACGCCAAGGCGTCACCTACAAATCTGTTTAATAAAAGTACGAAAAGATCTAACTTTCAAGATGTCTTTAAAGCCACATGGAGACAAACCTATGTACTTTTTAGGCAGGAGCTTGGGAGATGTACAGAATATTGTAATCAAGACTGCTCCAAAGCTGTTCAACTCGTGAGTAACACAATTTAACTTAGTTTAGTCAAAAGCTTTATATTCTAGAGCATCTAACCTGAAAATCAGTCATCTGTTGTTTTCAGACGACGACTCTGTAGCGGTAAATAAATCCCCAAAATAAATAGCCCTGTAAGTCTTCGACATTGGATGCTGACCATATGTTTTAGTGGACTCATCTAGCTGAAGGCGCTCGGTCAGTCATCCGCACCAGATCACGTGTGGTAACGCTGTGCTCAACATCTACCGCAATCGGTAGCCAGATTAGATCAGAGAATTTCGATATATTGGTAATCGCCAAATACACTTTTCTGATCTCCTCGACTCTGTCTTTTGATTTCTCTGGGTGGGAACGAAATATATTAGGTGTTACTGGTAAAAGCGTTGTCAAACACTGAATACCTGTGTCATTTTCAACTCACTATGATAACTAAATCATGGTGATTCAGAATTTTAGTCATATACGTTTCTCAAATGTGGTAGTTAGTTATAACCCCGTCTCCCAATCACAAACAAACGCCTGAAGCCGTATCGGCAGGTATCACGTGATTCATGTGTATTTTGTAGTGCTTAATGCTTTAAATATGGTAAAATTGGACACATTCAGTCAGTTTGTAATACCAATGTTTATTTTCGCTCCAAACAATGACGGATTTTTTTGAATTCCCATCCTATTAAATCGAATGTTTCTAATGATCATTTATCTTTATCCACGATTCCGAAAAGCAATGTAGAGCCACACAGCAGTGCATAATTAGATGACACTCAGAATCATTGTGAGACAAAAGTATCTAATCAACCAACTTCCTATCGGATTTCTTCATGTTATTGAAGGATATAGTTCTTCCTGATGATTAGTATATTTGTAATGGAATTCCTTATAAATATGAGGAAAATATTTTGAATGGATCAAATCATGGACGAAAATCCGGTGCAGTTTTGCTAGATGCTGATTTTTCTAATGATCCATTATTCAATGACATTATCAATAAATTTGAGGGAAATACTTCAGAAAAATCAAATCCTGATGTTATATCGAATGTTTTTCGTCCTCATAATGCATTTTTTCTTGTGGGAAACTTGTTCAATGCGAAGTATGAATCATAAAGGAGTTGGACTTTGGCTACAATTCGGATGATTTCATATCAGCTGTTGTTCATCCTTATCATGAAGTCGATTCTAATGAATTCTCCAGTTAATATAAGAAATATGCCTTAAGTGAAGCAATATCATTTAGAATTTGGGAATGTGAAGATTCAACGTCAAATCATCGGGAGGATAGTGTTGAAAAGTTTATACTTCAAATTCTAGATATTAGTGGTTTCGGTACACAACCGACGTGGTGATTGTATACAATCTCAGGACCCAGGTGAGTCTATTCCTATTATACTTGTTAATTCTGGTACTAATGAGCATATTCTAGATCATACAGAGTCTACATCCGTTACAAATTCCGACAGACACAGGATAAATATAAGACGTTCAATTGATTGCAGAAATTCGGATTCTCATTTAAGCTCTGGAGGGTGTGGTGTTTGTATGGATTAATGATTTCTTTGAACTTGATGACTATCTGATTTAGGATTCCAAATATAGTACATTTGTTCGTGCTCATCTAGTTCTTCTTGGTTTAAATCACGCAATTTCGGGATTCCTAGTTTGTTTGATAATTCAAATACTTCCAATTATCACGAGTCATCAGAGCATACTTCGAAACAAAGAAGGAAAGTATCATGAGGAATGTAATGCAGCGCTATGTACTCACAAATGATGGTAACGAAGATAACAAATATCGGTTTTGTGAGAGTTTGTAATCGGTCATAGAGATGTGCTCAGGAAAGGTCGGGACCATCCTGATGAGAGGCCTAAACACCAAGGTTGGAATGATTCCAAAATATAACGCGGAGAACACCAACACAATCACACTTCATGGAGAATCTCTGAAAGAAGTTGGTAGTTTCACGTACTTGAGCAGCATCATCGATGAACAAGGAGGATCTGATGCCGATGTAAAGGCAGAGATTGGCAGAATAATGGCAGAATTCATGCGATCGGGAGATCAGAATAGCCATCAAACAAATGAAGACTGAAAAAGCAGAAAGACCTGACAACATTCTAGCTGAATTAGTGATAACTGACATAGAAGTAACCCAAAGATGCTCCACGTCCTAGTAGAATAAAGGCTTCTTTTTGGATGATTGTAAGCAAATGAGCCGCAACATTAACATCCTTGATATCTTCCTTCGTCAAAGTTCAGATTTCGAACCTTTCCATATAATCCTCAAAAGCATCAAGAGGTGAATGTAGGTCCAGCTGTCCCATCAAATGTTCCATCGCGACTCCAATGTGATCAGAAGCATTTGAATTATGAACTATGAATCCCCGAAATAGCTCAATTTAAACCAAGCAGAACTAGGTGAGAACAAACAAGCGTATTGTATTTAGAACTAAAAATCAGGCAATCGTCAAGCACAAAGAACCATTAGTTCATACAAGCACCACATGACCCGGTTTCCATATGATTCTCATCTTGTAAGTGCTCTGAACAGCATCAGTGCAACTTATGTGTGCGAAGCACGTTCTCCTCCTTGATCAGAGTACAACAAAATCTCTTCGATATGTAGTCTTTTCTGTCCGGTTTGGGACCAATCTTTAGTAGCATTGATAATGAATGGCAATCGCGCCTACAAATTGAGTATTTTTTATTAACCAAGTAATAAACAAACGATCGTCTCACCAAGATCAGAATGAGTTAATTTAGTAAAGCGAATTTATCAGCTGTCAGTTATGGACTATGGAAAACAGGAAGACTATCAAAAATAGACTACTCAGGGATACACTTTTGATCTGTTTCTTTTTTGGGTAATGCCGACTGACAACAAACGCTTTCGTAGTTGTTATAGCTCATTGTCATAAAATAGTATTTACTCAGCAGGTTGTTTTATTTATTAAAAACATAAAATAATAAGGACCGATAATTTCGGTTTCCAAACTGTTAGTAATACTGGATGAGAGGCTTTAGAGGTGTTTAAGAAGTATCACACCCTTCTGAAGAGTTCAGACAAAGCGATTATAAAAGGTACTTAGAGTGAGAAATAAACCCTCTCCATCTGGCTCGGAAGCGCCGAAACTTCCACCTCTGCTAGTAGATAAGCAGTGATGTGATCACAGTGAATAGGATCCCTCATAACTCTCATGATCATTGTGAACTGCCTCCACTCTTCAACGCTAAATAAACTTTTGTAGTGCATCACTTAAATCTAGAGAAAGACTGTGTATACATAGAGATAAATATCCTCGTGATGAGAGCTTAAGAAATGTAAGACAAGTTTCTCCACTTCATGGTGGGGTTATTTCATGTCAATTCCTCACTAATGCGGTTCGATATGTACCTTTTAACCAATGATACTAGAAGAGATATCTACGATTCTTCATAAAACAGTTTCTTTACAGTATAAAAAAATGTTCAGCATTATGGGTTCACTGTGGTTACAGACAGTAAAAACACAATTATCTTCATTTGAGACTATGTAGTCTTTCAATTTCTTTGTTACTTTAAGTCAGCACCGAAGACGTGCCTCACATGGTAAATTGACAGTGAGTTTAATCACCAGAAGTGATACAGTTGAAACTTAACCTGTTGAAAGACTTCAAAAAACAATAAACTCACATAAAAGCACTAGATCTCAGAGTTATTGATCAATATACTGTCTTGTTGATAATATTGTTATTCGACCATTTAGCCCAGTAATGGGTTTAAAAGACGTTTGTACTGTGAAAAATAGAGTTTTAGTGAGTAAATTAATTGATTTTATATTTTTGTTTTAGTCATTCACTTGAATAAAAAGAACAAATTATATGCAGCCTTGTGAATTGTGTGATGAGTTTCGGAGGTTATATCAAAGAGGTGACTGCATTACTTTTAAGTTTCCGTGCTTATTACCGACTGTGGATGTTAATAATCGGATAGTGCTTTGAGCTTATTTATATTTAAATCCCTCAGCATCACCTATTGTTATGGATTTTAAAGTATTTAAACATAGTATCACTCAACTGTAATTTATCCTCCGCAATGATAAATGAAATAAATTCCTAAAGTTTTCGCAGTTGCATGTTCAACTATGAATTTATTTTTAATTACGTAATTATGGTTCGGAGTAGATCATCAAAAAATTCGAATTCATCTATATAATTATACCTTTCTCTTGTTAACCTTTAAGTTTATTCCAGTTATTATTTCTTTTAAGAGTTATTACGCGGTTATATGCTTCCATTCCTCCAAGCTAATAAAGATTTACGCACCATGCAGTAGAGTTTGCTACGTAGTAAACGAAATGATGTGATCTATTTACTAATATGTTGTGCACTAACGGTTTTATGAAATATCATTTAGCAATGGAAATTGATTAACAGTGATATAATGATGGACCTGGATATTTGAATCAATTCCAATGTAGTCTCTATGTGAGAGGTGGCAAGATTTTCACAAAGAACTATTAACTTTTAGGTTTGTATTTGATGCTTTTCGATAACTTGTGTTGTGCTCGCTAAGTTGTGTAGATAAATCATGTATATACGAACAGGCTAAAAACCTGGCGATGGCAAACTCTTCTGCACCTGCCAAGGAAATTTATTAAGTCAGAAAATAGTACCTGTCAAATGATTAAACTTTAAGAATTTTCAACTAAATCAGCTTATTACCGATACAACTGTGCTAAGGTAATAATTAAGAATTTAAGATTACTTTACCTAGCTTCTTTAACCTCTTCATATGCTTGAGAAACAACAGTTGTTGGCAAAAAAATTACAAGGAGTTCTTTAAGAAAGCAGCTTTTGATTAAAAACTACAAAAATTAAGCTCGGCTTAAGTTGAAAAATATTTAAACTAGTAGACCTCACTCCATGGTTATTTTTTAGTTACTTTCTCCAAGATCTGTAATAACGTTCTGTACAAATGTGGACAAACAGTCAAAAAGATGTCCTAGAAAGTCATTTGAACGGATCTAGTGGACAAAACTTCGTAAATAACAGCAGCAGTTTAAGCTCATACGCAACGTCCAATGGTAAGTTTTATTAAAACTAAAAATCGTTATTGAGAGATTCTGAATCGAGTCCAATCCTTGAACCAAGGGACTCAAAGTTTGGTACTAAACTATGGTTATCAAAAACGGGCCTTAACTGTCCAATTTGTCAGCATGATTTCTGCTTTAGCATGCTTTTGTGTACTACTGGACAAGAACAAAATAGCTTAACAGAAAACTCTATGAAAGTAATTCGTGATTTGCATTCTAGACTTCATGGTGTTTCACTTGTAAGTGTCTTTAAAATGCTTCGAATTATAATTTTTCGTTGATATACTAAAAGATGTTTTATGAGCTATTTTACGGGAATATGAATGATTTTTATCTATAGACGGTTTCTAACCCAAAAGCTGGCAAGCAAATAAGACAATAACCTTAGACGTTGTTTACTATAATTAGAAAAATCAATGACTGTTTCAAATTAAACCTCTTTTCCGCTTTGAATAAGATTTTTAGTATAGATAGCAAGTAGCATTTTTTGTTTCCTTTTCAAACACCTAAAGTAGTAGTAACAATAAAAATAAAACACGTTACATTATTTAGATCCCTAGATAAGTGTATTTAGTAGATTTTATTCGTTGGACAAGATGTATTAGTTTGAAATCTGGTTTCTTTAGGTTCACTTAGGTCTTATTCGATTAAACTCTGTCACTGGTCTTAGCTGTTAGTAATATTACAAATGTAACGTACCTCATCTACATTGGTGCTGTAGTTCGATTTTATCCACCTGAATACTGTTTTTGCTCCATTCATATTAGTGTTCACCATGTGGCTTTTTTGTTTGTCTTTTTCTATCTGTTCAAAAACACCCATAAGCGCTCATTGTCAGTTTTCCTTTTTTAGAAGTTATGATTTAAAACCATATAATAGGACAAAAAGAACTGATGTGTCCCACGATCGAATGCCCCTCTATGATCATAAGTAGAATATATTGACAGAATCAAACCGACCCACCTATTTTAGTAAAAACTCTAATAAATCAAGCAGATGGCAAATTTAACCGGATAATGTCATAAAATTACGTTAGTTTTCGCCTTGAGATATTTGTTTAAATCGTTTTCATATTCAGAAAGTCCCAGATAAATACCAAATGTTCTCACATATTTGGTAAACCATCCATTTTTTACTTTGAATAGCTTCTTGTTGATGTATAAAAAACAGATCTTTCTATATAAAGGCAACAATAAATCATTTTGGTCTCATAAAGCTTCAAGCTGATTGTTTTAGAAACTCATATTTCTATTTGACACTGTTACCTAGTTATTTCTAAGCTTTGGTTGATGATTCGCGTTAACATTCCCTGATAATTGATCGCTTTGAATAAATTATTTTTGTGCAGCAAAATCCAACGCACATAAAAATCTTGGTATATTAAATAAAAATACAGCACCTTTGGCAACGTTTTCGGGATCATAATAAACCAGTCCTATGTGGCGATATACTAAGTAATTCATCGTTGTAAATGCCTCATACCTCATGTTGTCTTCTTCAAAAAGAGTATTATATGCCGGTAAACGATAGTCAGCCTGAAAAACATCTTCAGAAGCTTGCCGCTCATCCGAACCAGTATTCAGATGTCACTACTTGCATATATAATTATCTTGCAATGTTTTAAATATATTGTAGGGAAATTGGCAAGAAGAGATATCTGATAAAAATTATGTTACTACTAATCAATGTTCTTTTACTTTCACTTTATGCCACAGGAATGTACCGTTCTGAGGTCAGAACTTGAAGTCCTTTACAAAGCATTCAATTCAAAATGTCAGGCAGTCAAGATTTTAACGAATAATGTAAGTAATATCTAAATAGATTATTAATGATTTTGATGTGCTAACATCCCATCATGTGTATGTATATTGGCCTATGAACAGTATTATCTAGCTTCTGATCTTTATCGTCATTAATTGATGCAACTATCAAGACTGTTGGTCATCGGTTAAAGTTTGGACAATTGAGTCGTAGAGCTGCAGATTTATATAATTAAATGTTGGTAGTTAATTTATGTTAACGACATTAGTGTAACATCAAATTGCGAGTGTAATTGTATAACTTTATTTGGTAAATGCACTGCTTCTAACTCTGACCATTTGACCTTTGGACAATCTTGCCGATGAATAACATTACTTTTGGCTACTTAAAACTTGGACAGAACAAATTAAAACTATCACCACACTGCTTAAAAAGTACGGAAAAATATGGGCGGCTAAGGAACAGTAAGAACCAAACAGTTTGAAATTGTGATGTTATTTTTCAGATGGACAAATGTTGGTTATTGTAAATAAGGATATAATGTAAATGTTTTAAAATAACAAGGATAATAGTATGAATGAAATCTTTACGTTTTAGTTGAAGGTAATTGAGCATGATGTGCCAAGAATGATGGGAACACACGTAGTCCAAAGATAAAAAAAATATGGCAGAAGAATGAGTCCCTTAAATACCACCAAGTAATTACAGTAACTCACGCAATAAGGGTCCTGAATTAATTTTAACTGTTGAAAACTAAAACTTCATTAATCTATGTGTTTTCCTAATTAGTTTCCAGAGAAATTAAGCAGTTTTACATACGAAGCGACTGAAATCCCATATTACTGATTTAGTTACATAAAATAAAGACTATCGTTCTCTATTAATGAGTAACACAAAAGCTTTGGTCTAGATACTATGGCCTGGTATAGCAAAGGGTTTGAAATGTGTAGGAGGATCTAAAATGATTTCATCCACTTCACTACTACCGATTTTGGGCCATGTCACACCTAGTTTTTAACTATAGGTTGTGATTTTGTCGCAAAACCTACCCGGTAAACCTCTGTCACCAACATTGCTCAAATCAGCAGTCATACACAAGTAACGTGTTTGTCCTCCCTATTCTTTAAAAAGCCACCTTTTATCCCATCCAGTAGGATGATCTGAGATAGGGGATAGCTGGAACCGTTAGTAAAAACAGTGTTCAGGTTAAGAACATGACATTAACTACAGTAAAAAAGTCATCGGAAGTAACGTTAACATTTTCTCGATCGATAACAGTATAATATTCATCCCGTAATACCTACCATAATAATCAAAGTGACAACTAATTAATAAAGAAGTAATATGTGGTTAAGCTCTTTTTCAGAGGAGCACTCACTATTCTTCTGCAATAATTATGCTCCTATTCTAAACGGGGGGTTCGTCAACAGCTGATTAACCCATTTTTAATTTCGTTTTTGGGAAGAAGGAGAAAGTAAACCATAATCGTTTAACATAATTAACTAAATTAAAAGTCATCATTTGAACATGAACTATTTCTCGTACGACTCTGTTGTATTTATTTTAAATCATACGTCCACTAGAATTCCACTTCTACTCAGTTTTTCAAAGACTTAAATCATTATTAGCTGTGGGGAGTCATACTGTGAACTTCAATAAGAGGAAGTAATATATTTTGTAATTTACTTAAAATACGATAAGGCATTACCTACTAATGAATAAACAATGGATCATTTCATTGAGGAAAACTTTATAGACAATGATTTAACGATTAATTTGATTTCATGATTAATAGAGGAAAGTAGTCGAACCTAACAACTTCATACTAGGTTTTAAATAACCACAGGATGCACATTTACAAAAATTTGCCAATATCTTTTTGAATAGTAGTTCATTTACATGAATTAACTGTTAAATCCCTTAGCAAGAAAAACGTAATTTTATGAAAAGTTACTAGAAATATGTTTTCCAAATAACCACTTAGTTTCTATAATCTGCATTATTGTAAAAATAACTGTTTCATTGAATAATTAATCTTCAATTCACGTATATACTGTACATTAAATATTTCTGGAATCTTCATGTTAACCAATATTGTTGTGGATATTTTGATAAAAATCTAGGGTTCGCATAGATACTCACTGGCTTCATAAATATCAGCTGTCTTAATAATAAGATTTTTATTTAAATATGATAATACTGAATTTATACCCTTCGGATAATTTCGTAAATGTATATTATAAAAAAGGTAGCATGAATTAATTATTTCTGTGTATCAGCGAAACAGTTATTTCACATCAGTTCGTCAGTCCACGGACAAAATTCTATTTTGATAATCACTGAAGTATATTCTGACTGACAAGTTCAACATTTTTATTGTTTTCCTGATATGGATTATGTATTGTGCAAAAAAGCACCAATTTCAAACTGTAAGTCATGAATTAACGAAATAACTGTTTCATTAAAATCATGGACCGACCAATGTTAGACCACCAAAAAACTGAAAGCACCGGGTGGCCATTCCATCCCAGTATGGAACTCCTCAGCAGTGCGCATCAAGAATTCCACATACGGGACTCGGGCCCAAGACCATTGGTTTCGCGAGAACGCTTAACCTCTAGACCACTGGGCAGCCTCCCAACGATGCCATTGTTTAACTTCAACCAATCCACTATATCACACGACAATCTTCCATTGTCTTAGATGGATAACTGCCTCAGCCGACATGGTTGAGCTCCACTGGTCACGGCTTCTCATTAGAATTCAAATAACTCCCTTTCGGAGCTAGTCACAAGTGGACACATGGTAAGTTTTAGTTTATTGTTGTAGAGATCGTCAAATGTCATTGAAATAATTGTTGGTATTAAGTGAGTACAAGACAGCCATTTCATCTTATGAATTATGTGTCATAACAGGCCATATTACAAATTAAAATTTAGATTATACAGTCTGAATGATTTATGCTCAGTTACGTGGTCACTAGCGAATCTTTACTGCTTAACAACATATGTGTCTAATGACAGAAAGAAACACCCATACAATACTATTTGATCTAAATAATTTCTCTATTCATATTGTAGTGAATTATTCCGTGAGAATAGTTAATTAAGTAAATAAGTGATCTTTAAAAGGAGTAGAAATCTTTAACTTTTAATTACAAATCTTTTAAATATAATCAATGAGATCATACTACTTTCGATCCTAACTCATTAAAAATGCTTTTATACTCAAGCGATTTTGTGAAAATTTTTGTACAATTTATAAACAGCTTTTCTCATGAACTGATGTCAACAGGCGAACTGTAGAGAACTGAGAAGTACTGTAGATCTTTTTTCTCACTCGAACGCTATTCGGAAGTACATATCTGTAGCTTCATACCGGGCTAGACCCAAGATTTCGATTTGATAAATAGAAAGACGCATTGTCTTATAAAGATTTAAAGCGCCAGTTTCTAAGTAAACGCATCAATACTACCTAACCTGATTCTGTCTTATGTTCACGGATTTCTATTCTTTAGCTCCTGCATTTTCAAAAAGTTTGGGGTGTAAAGCAAACTGAGGTTAAAGGAGCGATCCTTGATCTGTATTGTAATAAAAACTCTCTACAATCCCATTTTTTATACACACATATCAGACGATATTTTGCTGTAAAAGTTTTTTACTTCATTGAGTGATGAGAGTAACAATGAGTCCTTGTTAATATGACTATATTATCCAGAGTGTCTTCATAAAAGACTCCACCCAAGGTCTAAATTCTAATTATTTCTAATCCAACTGAATCCCTTGACCTGATCTTCTCAGTATGTACTATTCCAATTTTCCTCCTTCTAGCAAAAATTAAAGTACACATTAGTTACTTTCAAGAAATCTGATGTTGGAATACACTAATAAGTTTTCGTTAACTATGTTTATTTATCTCTCCCACCTGATAGTCAACTGTGCGATTCAGTTAAACCAAACCTCAAGTGAACTATGAGATATTTATGACCAATTTATTAATGTAATTCGATATGATAAAGATTGTTTGTTAAATAAACTAGTGTTAATTGTTCAATCATTTAGGCTGTATTGATCCACTCTAGTTAACTAACCTAAAGCGTATAATCAGTAAACCTATTAGATATAATACTTTATGGTTGAGATTAAGTTTAAATGTATTAAAGATTTAATTACTGAGAGTTTCTATGTTTCTCCACCCAATTTCCTTTAAATATGAATTGAATCATAGGTATCAGTCAACTAATTAACTTTCTATTTGTTCTAATACTGTTCAATTGTTATTTCGCACTCTCTTACTTTACTTACGCTTGTTACTCCCAATGGAGCAGCATTCTCCAACCCACCCTCACAAAGCACTAATCTTGTGTATGTTTGGTAGCAGAAGTTGTTGTAGCCATAGACGCTTTTAAGTATCGGTCGATAAGTATAATTACTAAATTAGATTTATCTGGCATTTCAACTGTATTCAATGTGCTTGCTTATTTAAAGAACTTTACTAAACTATGTAATGAAGAAATCGGTTAGATTTGACGATAAAAACTCAATGTGTAGCTATACTCTTCCTGTAAATAATACAAATAGAATAATGTACAATATGAATATCAGAGAGGGAGAATATGGGTAATATGAAGTCCTTCCTGAACAAAGCATTCAAGGAAAATAATAGAGGATGAGCATTTAGAAACCGGATTATCTATAAACAGCAACTGACTCATTAATATGTGAAGAAATGATCATTGCCTTGGAAATGAATCTATGATTGTCCTTCCGGTTGGACTGGCACTACCACTCCGTAAACACCAAAGTGCACTCTACTCAAATGTATATCCCAAGAGTATCCTGCCTAATAAACGATCCAAGTTAATTAACAGTTTTATTTTTCAATATCTGATTTATTTAAATAATATTGTTTCATCAAGATTTACCCTTAAGAAAATCGCTACGGTCAAACCCGATAGTTAAGACGAAGTGCTAACATGCCGGTTACGCAAAACAGTTTGTTAGAAACTCACATACTGAAAAGGAAATACACTACAAAACAGAAAAACACAAGTAATATCTCCCTAACATCAGAAAATGCAATCTGTCTATCCTCTTATTTCTATATAGGTATAATACAACGTCCTTCATTTCTTGTTATTAGTTTTATTAATGTCTTTGATATCCTTTGTATACATCTGTTACCACCATTTTCATTTCCTGTCGCTGATTTATTTCAAATGATTAACTTTTTTGAAATTCTTTGAGTCTATGCAATCTACACTTAGCTTTATATCACTTTGTTGATTAATACACAATCTCTTTTCATACCCAAAAATAGATTTACCATTCTTATCATGACCATTTTTGCTTTGATCATATAATTTTATTTCATTGGTAATAGCTAAACCATAAATTTACGGTGGACTTAGTTACACTTGTACAACTTTTAGAAGAGACGTCTTTGAAGAAGAAAATATTTACAAAACAGCTAAAATATCTAGACATTCCTAACAATATACAACACTTGTGAATGAATAGAAACTAACTTGTCGTATGCAAAGTAGTTGGCTATTGGAGTAAGATTTCTAAGGATTTGAACGAATAACTTAATCAACACTTCAAACTAAGAAAACGATTAATTTTTTAATTTAAGGATAATAAATTCAACGATTATTTTAACTGGTATCTGACATATAGAAGATGGATAAATTTTATTCTTCATCAGAATGAGTTTTAACTTAATTTTAGAAGTTAAATTCACGAGTCGATGTAAGCTAGACCACCAGTGAAAACTTGGAAGCACTGGACGGTCATTTTGTCCCAGTATAGGACATCTCAGCAGTGCGCATCCACGATCCCGCATGCAGGACTCGAGTCAAAGACCTCCGATCTTGCACGCGAACGTTTAACCTCTAGACCACTGAGCCGGCTTCCAACGGTGTTAATGTCTAATTTCAATCGATCCATGATCTTGCGTAACCATCCATCCGTTGTCTGAGGTAGATACCTGTTTCTACCTGATTCGGATCGGACTCCTCTAGTCACAGCTTCTCTGTAGTGCTGAGGAGTCCCATACTAGGACGAAAGGTCATCTAGTGCTTCCAATTATTCAGCGATGATCTAGCTTATATTGACTAATGGATTCAATCATTAAAATTTATTTCTATCAAGAGTTTTTAACATGCTTTGCAAATAAACGATCGAAATTTTCTATTTTATGAAAGCCACATGGCTAATAAACGACTTATTTAATATTTTTGTGATTGTGAACTAATGTCGTCTGGAATCCATTGAAAACAAAGGAGTATTCAAATATAACAGTATGCTTTCTATGAAGCCTGAAGGTTCAGTCTTGAATGAAGTCATAGGTGTATATTGCGCAAAACCAGAAGGTTGTGACCACCGGACTTTTATATCTCGCAAACGGAACAATACCCTTTGATTTCTAATCATTCTGCGAATGAAATTTGTTTCCGGAGAAATTTACATATAAACATCTCAGTATATTCAATGGTGCTTGCTGTAATCATTCTTTTGTTTACTTTGATACACACATAAAAGAAAAGAAACGTCTCATATGAAAAGACGACAAAGAACCAGTCAGTCAGTCGGAAGCATCGATTCAAGTAACAACACCAAATCAGCTCAGAGAGATGAAAATATTAAAAGGAGGGCAGTAATAGTATCAGCGCTAGTAGTAATATCAGTGATAATAGTAATCATAGTTAATATAAGCTACAATAAAAATCAAATAAGTTATTCATCATTTTGTTATTATTGTCGTATACACTGAAATTTTAAGTAGTTGAGATTTTTTATCACATGTTAACTTTATTGGATATTGAAAGAAATTTCATTTACATTTTATGAAAAAAACATACAGAGAGTTGAGTAATTATGATGGAATTATTATCAATATGCCTATAAATTTAATGACTAATAAATTTTTAGCTATTTAGTTTCCTCTTGTACATCAATTCAAACAAAAAAGTGTGTGTTATATCTAATGTACACGTGAAACTACGTATGCTTTCATCATTCCTAAACATGAATGTATTATTAATAGCAAACTACTAAAATGATACAGTCATTTATTAATTACTAACATTTGTAGCTAAAAATTGAAAATACTTAATGTCAATTAAAGTTTTACATGTACTTGTATGGATGTAAATATGTATGTTCACTTGCAGAAAGAATTTTTTTCAGTATGTAACCATGATATTGTGTATGTTGTTCCAAGTGTTATGTCATTAATTAAATCTGTAGAGTGATAGATACACGTAAATATTGTCGAAAAGCTCTAGGATAAAAATACTTTCACCTCATAGTCCTTAAGGTTTATACGTGGTTTATTAAGTGATTCGATTTTGGGATGATAACTGATTTCGAAAATAAAAAGTAGAACAAAAGCAATGTTAAACAACTAGAGAAAAAAAACTATCAGATGTTTTGTTGGGATATAAGCTCTAGGATTATTAAAATACTCAGTGATTACAATCTCAAATGGTTCACTAGATAAGATATTATGTTGTGTTTGGTCACAGAACTCTTAATATTCACAATAAAGTTTATTATCATAAAAAACTGGTCTATTTGTTCCAAAGCAAAATAATTCCAAGTATTGTTTTTAAAACACTATTGAATATCCATCAAAATAAATCAAATGTATCGCTTACGCACAGTGTTTGAAAATTTAGTAGATTGGAATAAATATTGAGGCTCCCGAACCATGATATGGTATTAGTCCTTGAAATCATTGGTTGTTTTACTGAACCATTTAGATAGATGTAAACTATTTGGTTGGAGTTCATGTGATTATTGTGAGCGATAGTTGAAGACGTTGTATGGTATGGCTCAGAATCGGTCGCAGGTGGCCCAGATTAGTCCACTATTTATCTTCCCTTAAATCGTGAATCGCTTTGCCGAAACCTAACCTACAGTTGAAGAACATATGGAACTCAAAACAAATTTCAACCAATATCAAAGTGAGAATCTGCAATACGAATGTCAAGGCAGTTCTACTGTACGGAGCTGAAACTTGGAGAACTACAACAACCATCATCAAGAAGGTGAAAGTATTTATAAATAGCTGTCTACACAAGATACTAAACATCCATTGGCCGGATACAATCAGTAACAGCCTTTTGTGGGAGAGAACAAACCAGCTTCCAGCTGAAGAGGAAATTAGGAAAAGACGATGGAAATGGATAGGACATACACTACGCAAATCGTCAAACTGCATCACGAGACAAGCCCTAACTTGGAGTCCTGAAGGAAGGCGGAAAAGAGGAAGGCCAAAGAACACATTACGTCGGGAAATAAAAGCAGATATAAAAAGGATGAATAACAACTGGAAGGAGCTGGAAAGGATTACCCGGAACAGGGTTGGATGGCGAGTGCTGGTGAGCGGTCTATGTTCCTTCACGTGGAGTAACAGGCGTAAGTAAGTAAGTAAGTAAGTAAAATAGCAAAATGTTGCTTTGGCTAATTGATATATACTTACTACAATGATTAAAATATCAAGAGCAAAGGTTTGTAGATGAGCTCTGTAAATAATAGTGTAGGAGAGCTTTAAGTTACACCGCAACCATTAAACATATAACCATATTATTAATATGACCAATAATAATAATAATTACAATGAGAATAATCATAATAATAATTGATCATTAATACTCCTGTTTTACTAAAAAAATTTTAATGAGAGTAAACAAATAAGACAACTTAAACAATAATTGACTTTAAATAAAATATAATTTTCTTTTATGAGTGTGGTGGCTTAATGGTTAGAAAAGGCAGAACCTTCGACTAACAGTCTACAGCTTCGTACCTACCTACTCATACATAAATTTCAGTTTAAGCAATCACATTGTATTAGTAACTCTCACATATTAATAATGTGTATTTTAAATTTATGTTTCATAAAGTTAATATTTACTCTTAAGTTATTCTCGTTTTTCCTAAAAATAAAATTTATTATCATTTTAGAAATTTCAGTCATCTGATGAGAATGGTCAAACGCGAAGTACTGTTTACGCTTCAACTGTTGAATTGGAAAAGGTTAAATTAGTATTAACAAAATTATTTTAATTTGAAATTATTTTTGCAAGTATGATAAACTTATTATCCATAATGATTGGTTGTATACAGTGTGATACTGTTGAGGAAATACACCTCATTATATGTCGTTCCGAACAAACACTGTTCACAAAGAAACATATATTGCATACTTTTTAAAGTGCAATTAAATATGTCGCTTAATTGATAAGGAATAAGTACTCCAGATACTAAATGTTATGCATGAAGTAGTTAAGCAAAAAGTGATTTTAAAAATAAAATAAAGCATTTGTAAATATGAAAAATTAGAATCAATGGATTTAAGTAGGGACATTTCATTCGGATTCTTAACACACATATTTTTAAAGGTACTGTTCGTCATCGGCTGAAAAATAGTTGAAAATAAAGAACGAGTAGACTGTTCTTTAGCCTCATTTTAAGACCTATCAGAAGGGCAGAGAAAAGAATCCACAGAAGCGTGAAAATAATATCTTCAAATCTGAGAAATCATGATGCCTTTAAACCATGAAGTCGGAACGCAGTGATTTACATTCACAAATTTAAGCGCTTAACCCTCTAGTAGGGCAATCATTCAAGAAGTTTAGAATATCTTCTCTTATACTTAACATGTTTAAACTCTACCAGTCATCATATTCAGCTGGAATCTGCGCTCATGATGGTTCTTCTGAGACGAATCTACGAGCAATTGAAATGGGAGCCGGTTTTCTGGGACCACTGTACTATCATTTCTTTGCATTTGATTTATATGTCTTATGCATTTTCCGACATCTTTCCGGACTAGGTACAGCACATTTCCGATTCGACGTTCTATGACACCTGCGTCTTGAAGTCAGTATATATATGTGCGACATTATCATCAGGGATCGAAATAAATTCATATAACTGCCTTCTCTGTCAAACGAAATACTGTCATATATGAAGTTATTTCAAGTGCGTGCAATTAATTAGAGGTTTTGTGTAGTACAACTTTATACAGGCCTCTATAACAAACATTTAATTATTTGAAAAATCGACCGAAGTCTCCAAGTTATTCAGTAGTAGGTTAGATTTATCTTGTAAGAACGTTTTTTTCAATAGAAATTTTTCGTTAATCTTGTTTACGTTGACAATGTACTTTGAAAATTGATCAATATAACTTATAATAAAACATTACTTATACAAGGATTAGCTATGAAAAATAGTTGAAAAATCCCTAATTAAGGTCAATCCATTTTTGAACAATTTAGGTAAGATTATCTAAGTTAATCAGTATATATGATATATCTTTTGACGACACTCAGTAAATTATACAAGTACATTTCTCAAATATTAGCTCCAATTGTAAATCTACCACAACAAATTACTTTGTTCATTCACGATAGTCTTATTTGTTTCATATTTGTTCTTACTTTTGTTAATATTGTTCACATTCGTTAAATTTTATTATTTGTTCCCAAGACTAACACGTAATGTATTGACTAAAAACGGCTTAAGTGGCTTTACAAAATCGATAAATATGTGTTGATCACAAAGCCAATTATTTACAATATTTATGAATAAAGTTTTCAGGTATGTTTTATGCCATAAGTAAATAATTTGTGTCAAAACATCAAGCTACAGAGAACCTTCATCAAAGTGATTCACATATAATGGACTACTATATATATTTCGCACCGGGTCAATTATAGATTATATTCACTAGAGGTTTTATCTTTTCAACTTTTATTTCTATGGCTTTGTGTCTTATGTGTTGAGTGGTCCAATTTGGAATCGTTCATCATCGTTTTATATAACATCAGTGCTTAACTCAAATGAATACACCAAAATTACTCAGCGAGTAATAAATCGCACCGTTCTGATACTTTTTCCAGTGATTGGTTAACCTTATATTTGCTATCATTATAGGCATTTAAATCCCCATCGGCTATTGTTTTAGACTGACCTGTAAACACATGAAAAAATAAACCTTATTCTCACTTTTTCATGGGTTAAATGTATGTTTACATACACAACTATTCGAGATTGGCTTGAATGTCAAGTATGCAGAAATTCTTTTGAATTCTTTCTATTCAAAATTTTAGAATTTCCCCTATCAAATTTATCTTGGTTGTTGTCTGTATGCATTTTGCTATAAGTAATCACATATAGTACCTTTCAAATACTTGCGTATATTTTTGGATGTTGAATTGAAACAGATGTCTATTTTCCTCACTTTAGCTCTACTATTTGGGACAACAGACCTTGTAAATAATGTTGAACTTTTTTTATTTCATCCTTGACCCATCATTAAATGGAGTTAAATGAATACGTTGGTTAATGGGCAACACTAAATTCGTTGGTTTTCAAAATTTTAGTGATAATTTGTGAGATATTGTTACACAATAAATTGTAAAATGTCTGCAGGCTTTTCAGGATGATTTTGGAATGACAGAATAATTCACCAGATATAATTTTAGTGAATTTGCTATGGTAGTTGTTATATCGAGGGGATTTGATCTTTCTCCAAGGATCATATAAATAACTTTTTTTGTGGTCTTTTGGGTTGTTACAGTTGTGATCTAATGATTGATCTGTATGATTTGACGTTCTGTTAGTTTTTGCCTCCAGTACATATAACTTCTGTCATAACGCATTAAATTTAAATGCATTAGGTAAAATTCACCTTACATTATTCATGAATACTTTTCATAGGTACCAGAATACTTAACAATAGTATAAAATATATGGTTGACAACCAGTCAGATAAAAATAAATTCACCTTTTTTCTTCCATTAGATCTTGAGTTTCAGAATTAAATCTTACATTCTGAGGATTATTTTTTTACAATGTATTTTCGTTTAGTCAGTTTAATTCACATTCAGTGAAAATAGTTCAGTATTTATTCTAGAATTAGGAGTCAGTTCCATACCTTTTTATTCACTTTCTATAAAATTAAAAAAAATATTAAAGTGTATAACCTTCTGAATGTTTAAGCTAGAATCTCTATTCAATGTTAGAATATCCTAACTATTTTTTAAAAAAACATCTGATAATCATCACAGCGACTACCTAATATCGTAATTACTAAAAAAATACTGACTGGCATTACCAAGATTCTACCAAAAAGCAGATACATATAGAACCAACCAGGTCGAAGACGTCCCAATTACTCTACGATCATATCTAATTAGGATGGCAATCATCTTACAGGTTGGTTTAAGTTGGAAATGTGGTACATTAGATATACTTACGTGGCGTTGCACTCAAAAAAGCTTACAGATTCTGGTTTTGAGGTTACATGGGGTTGATAGTGCTCAATGTCAAAGTATCCAAATCAAAAACGTAACATTTACCTATTGCTTTCCGACTTTCAGTGGTATTCCAACTGATATTAGTCCATTTTTTAAACTATCACTAAACTCAACAAACCTCAGTAAGCTGCCTTACTAAATAACTTCCTAATTTTATCATACTGATATTTTCTTTTTTAACCACAATTATTCCATATTATGAATAGGAGGACAAAGTATTTTTTTGTATAAATATTTGCAAACTAAAAACTTCTTAATGATCAAACAATATCTGTATTTTTTATTTCCAGGAAATAAACAAACTGAAAATAGACCTTGAATTAAGTAAAGGTGCTCTGTTATCACAACAGCAGTCGTCTAAAGCAAAAGTTCAACAGTAAGTAATAATTCTCATTTATATTTTCAATCATTTGCAAAAGACTTAAAGTATAAATAGTTACATTTTGAACTTATTAATATTTCGTTAATTTATAATTGATGTTCGCGTTCTGAAGTGAGTTCAATTAATAATAATGAAGTTCGTTGTTTTGTCCTCATTTATTGAGGTATTATTAAAAGTGGGAACACTAATTAAGAAATGGTTAGTTTATAAGCGGGAGCTAAGGTATAAAAAAGTTATTTGTATTGGGTTAACAACCATTGGCTTATCATAACAATGACAAGTAGCCTGAGACATTATCGATTATGGCTTAGGATAAACTTCAGTGTCAGTTCTTTTGTGGTTTTTATTTTAATCCTCATAAACAATAAGATATATCTAGCTGGACGAAATTTATTTTACCCGTATTTCTACTGAAACTGTATGTTTTACCAACTTTCATATCTCTTTTTTATGACTTTTCGGCACCTGTTTCATTATATCACTGTAACTTCGTAATGAGTTTATAAATACCCTTATCACACCAAAAATATTTTTGTGATATAAATGAATCCACTTTTTGTGTCGTATCGGAAATTGATTAAAACTATATCTTTAGTCTTCGCTTCAGTGACAAAAAGTTAGTTACCTCTTCTCAATATCTAAATGTTTGGGATTCAACACTGTTTCATAATAAGACTATTTGAGACACCGCTGAATAGTAGGACAAGATAGACTCATTTTTCGGACGCTAAAAATATCATAGGTTTGGTCGTATCGCTACCTTTCCAAAGGTTTCCAAATTTCAATGAATAACCATTATTTACTACTGTTTCAGTCAGTAAAAACAATTTTGTTTTATTTTTTCACTAAATCACAAGTATAAATTTCTAATAACAATAAAGATACAACTTAATAAGCTTACAAGATGAAACATAAATTATGTGAAAACGTAAAGAATTTCAAATCCAAATTATTAGTGCATTTTATATGTAGTCACAAACTTGCCAAGTTTGACTATTTTTTTTACATCAAAGCTCATTATTAACCTTCAGAATTTCAGTTGTTCAAAATCTAGAAATGGTTTTTTTCAAATTTAAGTCCAAGAATGATAATAGAAGACTGTGTTTAGATGAACAAACTAATTTTAAGGAATAAATGGAACAAACATATTGAAATTCAGTTAGAAAAAAAGTGAGGTTTTTGTTTACAGAAATGGTTAAATATGATTACATATTGTGTTGAAATGATATCTCTTAGGTCTTTTACGGGTTTTCCCTCAATCTAAAATCAATCAATTTGTAGTGAAGATTAGTTTTATGTTTAGTTGCTTGAAAAATTTCAGGAATTTCTTTTTAGAAGAATATTTAGAAAATAATAATAATAAAGTGTAATTATTTCACTGATTTTATTGATTTATTTTATCAAATAATCAGTCAATGTTAAGTATCACATTTCAGCTATGCATATATGAAAAAGAAATAGTTTCACTGTAATTGTAAAGTGGATTTTAAAATATCGCAAATTTTCTAATTAACAATATTGAACTTTAAAATAAGATATAACACTTGAATAATCGTTCTTCAATGAAATAGTTAGTATGTTTTGAGCTAGTAGATATCAAATGTTGAGATGATAAGTCAAGTGAAGCTAGATCACCATGAAAAACCTGGAAACACTAGACAGCCTTTCCGTCCTATTGTGGGACTCCTCAGCAGCGCGCACCCACGATCCCGCATCGCGAGATTACAATCCAGGACCTATCGGTCTCGCGTGCGAATGCTTAACCTCTAGATCACCGAGCCGGTGTCCAGTGGTGTTAATGCCTGACTTCAACTAATCCATAAAATTGAGTGAGACATCCGAGATTGTCTTCAGTGAGTTACTATCTCACAACAGACTCGGTTGAACTTTGAGACCGACAGGTCCTAGGTTCGAATCTCGCGAGGTGTGATTGTGGATGCGCACTGCTGAGGAGTCCCACAATAGGACGAAACGGCCATCCAGTGATTTCAGGTTTTCCATGGTGGTCTAGTTTCAACTGACTCACGACCTCAAACATTGAAATTAGTATAATATCCACGCAAACCACTTCAGATATCAGATGGCCGTTATTTTTGTTTTGATAAAGTAGTATTCATCATGAACATTTTTGTCATATCTTTTATTCATCAAAAATAAGAGCCTACTTTCGTGGTTCATTGATTTATAAGTTGAAGCGTTTTCGATTACTCATTTTCTTTCTTACTGTTCTGTTCTATTAAAATGACGAGTCCTTGGAAATACATCCAAGGAGGCCTAAGCATAATGAAGAGTAAAGGAAATCTGAATTCAGAATAGAAAAAAATGCCCACAAAATGACAGTGAACAGTGGTGTCAAAATATCAAAAACAATTACTAGGCAGTGATGAATTGTTAGGCTGTTTAATTAGAAGCCAGTGGAACAACTGGAGGAGCTTTCATGGGTTTTGTTGCTCAGAAGAACTTAAACAAAGTACAAACTTCGATGTCTATAGAATATAATAAATTCACTAGGTTTCGTTGCCTTCTCTGTAAATACATACAGACTATTAATTTCCGTTAATCCAAAATATTAACATATTTGAAATTTTTGAGTAATGCATTATTATCAGAGGTCAGCAAAATCTTAGAAATTAAAATCATAATGAGAGCTTTAAATTAACGATTTAGAAACAAAATTAAAAGAAACTTGTAAACACCAAATAATTTTACTGTTCTTTAACGATAACTCATCGATTAAAAATTTCAGGTAATTTAATATTTTTACTAACGAAAATTATAAGTTGTGTAAATCTGAGAAAAAAAGCAACGAAATACAATGAATTTATCGTATTCTACAAAAATTCTCATTCTTACTCAAGTGCTCTTCAGTTAGTCTTCAGATGTTATCCATTCCTTTATATTTTCATCAATAGCCTACTATCACTATACTTTTATTGAGTTTCTTAACCTTAAGTCTGCATTTGGCCTCTTTGATAGTTTCCATTAATTTACTTATCTCATGGTTATCATATAATTAAAACAAGTTTCTTTCTATTCAATATTTGAATGATAGATTAAATAATGAAAATGGGAATTTAAGAAGACAATTGGAAAATTTACAACTTAAAACTGGACAATTATTAGAAGAAAATATGCGTATGTAACTGAACAGTTTAATTTTATGTATGTGCTTCAAGGTTACTTGTTTATCTTTTTTTTTCCTAATTGATAGAATTCTTGTTTTAAATGATTTAATTATAGTCGACCTCTTATCATCATATCAATAGTGAACTAGCTATTAACTAAAAAATAAATTATAACTTTCATTAGTGAAATGATTTTATTTCATCAATAATTTTGTGCAAGTGAATATATTAATCAGACATTGTAATATATCAAACTATTAGTGTTTTATGTTACAATTATACATGGTTTTAGTAATTAGTTAAAATTATTAAATATTAGTTTTGCTAGACCAATGTAAACCAGATCGATAAAATCTATCCATTGCTGAAAAACTCAAACAATTTAAAAAAAAAGTGTTTATTCAATTTATGTTAAATGAATAATTCAGAAGATTTGTTTAGATGGTGGTTGGAGGTAGTCGACAGGAAACCCTGGACCTGGATTTCGTGCTACTTGGCACTGGTCAGCAAGGTGTACCTGTAATCTTGAGGGACCTGGTGCTCCATGGTGGATTCGACCCCGTGTCACCCAGCTTCACAGTCAGAAATGTTACCACTGAGCTATCCGGGCCGCGACTGACCTCATGTAGGGCTGAGATGTAACCACAATTGATTGAGCATTCGATCTGCACTAAATAAGGACTTGACACGCATGACAGTGATCACCACCCAGTGATCAATCAATTGTGAAAAGATTTGTTTATTCCACTAGTGTTGATGTGAAACTAATTTTAAAAGTATCTGTTTGAGAATCAATAAAATATTAAACAGCAGAGTGTATAGGACTAATGGGAATGTACTACTGATTGAATGAATTCCTTTAACTAGGTAGTAGACAATGAATTAAATCTAGTAGAAATTAAAATAATATAGTGATTATATTTATAATGTTGACTCACTCTTAGTTGAAGTATTCGACTTTCAATTAACAAATGGCTAATTTAAACTCCCATTTAACTTTCAAAACGTAAAAGGTATTGCTCAAAAGTCCAGCATATGAGATGAATACATGATCACTAAGTTACAGTATTTGTATTCTATAACTATTGTTTCCTATTTTATTTTGACAAGGAATAATCATTCATTCAATAAAATCACATTCGATCACCTTTTTTTGTGAGAAATAAATCAGCACTAACATTACTATCATACGAGGTTATTTCTAAGTGTTGAAATCACTATTTTCACAGTTAGCTTTTGAATTCATTACTATAGTTCAATTGACTACATAATTTCGATAACATCAATCTCTTATAAGTTCATCTAACTTTTTAAAATTTATGCTTACGGGGATTTTTAGTTTTTATTTTGCTTTTTACTTATGTAACATAACAGTCTAAAGAGGACAATATATAACTATTGATATTGGTGACTGTGAAATGACTACGATATCTCTGACGTTTGATAGCCAATCACAATAAAAATAAACTAAATGAACTTGATATTGAAAACTCGAGAACGCATTAGGGTTGTGGTTTCCTTGAAGAACTCATAATTCGTGTCTAAATTTTGTGTACGTTTTGGTTGCATTTATTCCCTATTATTTTTTTTTCATTAAAAACTAATCGATTTCCAAATGTCATTTAATGAATTGCTCAAGCTCATCCACATTTCTTAGTCCGTCCTGAATTTCGTGTAAACATCAGAGAGTATCCATCTGAAGTCTGATTCGTTTATTCACAAAGCATATCTTCACTCGTCTCGAAAACGAATACAAATGAAGATGTACATCTGTCAATCACTATTTCAAAGGGTGTTTCTCGTATATACTCTGAATCTTAACAAGTTGAACTAATATTAGGCGGAAATTAATAATGGAACATAGCATGGATAAATAATATTATAAAAATATGTTGCATCCTTATCCATACCTTTTCAGTGGTTATAACTTCCATATATCCTTTTACTTAATGTCAAAACACTTGTTCTTTTAAATGTTGAATATCATGTAAGGCTTACTAATTTTATGACTATCACATTTTCTATAGCTGGAACAATCTTTAAGCGTTCACTAAACTAATGTTTTCATCAAATATGCATTATTCGAAAAACTTAAGATTGAAGTATACTTTTGCATAAACATTGAAAATAATTCTCGGCAGATCACACCAATATTCTGGAAACGTCTAAGGTCTAGTTGGCAAACTTAAAGCCATTCACCTAGAAAAGCTTCTTCAGTAATATCAAAAGATAATAGATATTTCATCTGGTAAATAAATGTAGATGCACAGCTGTAACTGTATTTTACTTGGAATTCATTATAGTTATAATTTAGGCACGAGAAAAATTAACCCATTTCATGTAGCTATATACATATTTCAAAATATTCACTGGAATTTGTTGACCGCTATTTGGAATTGGACCCCTTATTGAAATAAGAAAAGTTCTTAATGGATTTTATACTCCATGACAAGACTGAGAGTAAATCTATGAGTGATCTTCAACAAGAAATCATGGAACCCCAGATGAGTCAATCTCAGTGTGGTTTACACAAATATCTTATACCATCTATTGAGAAATATTTGTAAGGGCTTCTGACAGCATCTAGGTCTTTCAACAATAAACAAATTATATTTATCGTTTATTCTAAAATAGTCATAGTATTACTCACAATTTGTATGCCTCATGAAATTGATAATGATCTGTTCGACTAAATCTAAGATTTTCAGTATTATAAAATGTCAATGAGGTATAAGCTTACAAAAGATGAAATTTCAGCCATATTTTTTACATGTTACTTAATATCAACTTTTTGTTTTTATGTTACGTTAGATCTTCTACAGAAGAATACAATGTTAGTCTGTTCACCTACATATGAAGGAGTAGAAAAATCACCTGAAATAACCAATTCAGATAAAAGTACCAAGTTTTATCTGAATAAAAATTCACTGGAGAAGTTAGCTGATCAAGACGTTCCACTTACATCAGAAGGCATTCTTTATGTACTAGAAAATCAAATTAAATCACAATTTCATGATAAAAGAACGTCATTGCCTGAAATAAAAACAAATTTAAAAGATGCTTCTATTTCTCAGAATGGATTTCAATTATTTTTCAGTCGTTTACGTTCATCTAAATTAGATAAGATTTTAAACGTTCAACAGCAACAAGAACGGTCTCATAAATCTTTTTATATTGAAAAAGATAGTCAGTGCGATTTTAATTCATTCATTCATCAAAGTCCCGGTATTCGTGAAATCTCTGTCCCTTTAAAATGTTTGTGTGTAAATGATTCAGATGAAGTTTGTGAATGCGCTCGAACTACTGTTAATGTTCAACGACAACTTTTACAGTATAAGTGCCAGGTATGATTAAATTAATGTGTAGATGACAATTGTGCTTACTATTTATTAAATCTATTGAGTATTTACTTTAAAAAATGAAAACGAGATTTACTTTTCGAAGAAGCCAATACAACTCTTTTTTAATTTATTCATGAGAAATCATATATATATTCCGCTCAATATATACTCGGATTCTAGCCATAAAGACTTTATTTCACAAAAAAATAAGGGAAATCAATCTTATCCCTATATGTGGTAATTAACGTGCTCTGTTTCTTATTTCGATGGTCCAAACAGCCCTTAGATGTCCTCAATAATCAAGTCCTTTACCTGGCTCACCATTCCACATTTTATCATTTCAAAATTATACTCGTTTCACACTTATATATCGATTCTGCATTTCGGGGACAAGATAAAATCTTAGGTGGATTACTTTTGGTAACTAGAGAAAGTGACCTAATCTACTGACAGAATTGTGCATAAGGAACTGGCATACAACTGCTGCTGAACCATTACTACTATAAATCTCCTTCAATAATTTCGTGAATTTCTCAATAGTTTTTCCCTAGTTTCATTAGAAAACATTCATATCATGTCTTTGTTTGTATATTTACCAAGTAGACCATGTACAAAATTAAAGTGTATTAGACGAAACTCTCGTTATAATTTAAAATACAAAGTACAATGAATCATAAATTAAAATAACAAAGATTTACAATTTATGTAATTTGAAATGAATATAATTTATGACAATCTCTATCCCTAAATCTTATCTAGCTATTCATAGAAAAAAACCCTGATCATTTAGTTTTCATGATAGCTAAAATATATACAATTAGGTTTGAATTTTTCTTTCTGAGGATAAATACGAAGTTAAAATAGAACTTTATATTTAACTTACAGGATTTATTTAAATCATACCACTAAAAATTTTAATAATTGTGGAATAACTGGAAAATCACAACAATGTATAGCCAGATAGTTGATACTGAAATAAACCATCTCTTAATGCTGTAGTTTTTAATACATGAATATGTAAAAATATTCCTTTTTATGGTCAGTTGATCAATGGAAAATAAGTAGAAATTATGTAACACTAAACATCTGGTATTCTATAAAAGTTCACTCGTTGTTTTCTTCTTTAAACTCTGTGCAATTCTTCCAACGATTGTACTTTGCATTAATAGCCTGTTTTTGATTTGCTAAAACGAATTTTACTTTCCTTCTCAACTCATTCACTAATTATTTGAGTATGAACCAAACTCAAAGTGTAACGGATAACAATACTAATATCCGGTTGCTCCAGTCGAAATAGGTGGGAGAGAGTTCGAACCTGGGACTTGAGTACCTTGACCGCTATATTACACTCTGTTTTGTCACTGGTATCAAAATTAAGAGTCAATTCCTACAGAAACCCAGCAGCGAAGGCAAAATAAAACATTAAATTTTGAAGAAATCTATGATAGCTTTTACAAAACGTATTTACTTGAGGACTTGAGTCATTGTTTGGAATGTCCAAACTGTTAAAAAAGTTTAACAGTGAGACAAAAATAGCTCAGTTCTAATAAGCTTAATATGAATTTTCATGTGGTTGATAATTCAAGGATTGAAATTATCTGCGAATTATTTTCTAAAAAGTAGGTTTATAGGGAAGAAAAATTTGATTCAAATCTAAACTTTATTTCCAAACATTACGATAATCAGTTGTAATGACTTCCGGTATAATTATATATATATATATATCCTGAGAGAGACAAATAGTTGTGTAACGATGGCCATTAATAATAAAATTAGTCAATCAGACGATATTTACAAATTGGGGATTGTGAGCTGTGGAATTTCGTAGTTATCCATTACGGACTGGCTTTAGCAAACACTGAACAAAACAGATATTCATATTACCATATTTTTTGTTGAAATATTACATTTGTTATCAATGAATTAAATACAGTTGTATTCCTTCATAACTGAGAAGAATATTAAAAGCAATCATAAGTTATGCATATACATTGTTCAAAGTTTTTTTATAAAATGCTTTCATTATATTTATCAGCTTTCTGAAATGACAAAAAAAATCAAACAACTTGAACTATCTGAAGACGCCCATCGACACGCATTAAAAGAACAATACGAAAGAAACAAACACATGTCTGTTCAACTGACTGGAATTCTCCCATACACATCTGAAGAATTATTGAACTGTAAGTGGCATTTATTAACATTGGTTAGAAAAAATTTATTAAGGAACTACTCAATTAAGTCAGTGAGTTTGTGAAACTATATAGTTTGAAATCGATTGGCATTGTTATGGTATAATAAATATGACAACGTTAGGTAAAACTGCTAATTGTTGGTTTGAAGTCTGTAGATTTATTGGCTGAAGCCTTGGAAATTTCGTAGTTTAGTGATTTCATTGCGCTTACGGAAATAAACTCGTTATATTCACTTTAAACAACAACTATTATCTCGTTAACTCTTTAGTTTTTTATCGTAGAAGTCATAAGTGTATTAAATCTCAGTCTGTAACGTAGAATGATGCAAAACGGCTGATCTGTACTTTTGAGAAATTTAATGAGTTATTTTGTTAGTCCCATTGACACTTCGAATGAATTTTGCATTGTACAAGGATATTTTGTACCTGCGTAAAAAGTGATTTAAAGTTAAAATACATTGGTTGTGTTGCCGCACAATAATAAAAGACCTTTCAATCTTATAAAGATGGTGTAGTTTCAACGAGACATTTTAATACTTCTTATAATGGCGAGAAAGTAAATATTGCCGTAAGAAAAATAAAACCACCCTCTCTCTTGAACTTCTGTTTGTAGAATATGAAAACGTTGTGCGTTAGATATTGATACTGAGTTGTTAGCTAGTCTCTGTGGTTTATTTGTCCTATTTTATAGCGTGCTTGTGATGATTGTTGATGCAAAATTGAGGCATTAGTAAGAATGCACGCTAATGATTTATAAAATCATTGAGGTACACATGAAGGATTAAAGGACTGTTGGATACATTTCTTGATACCTACAACTATAAAATGTACCGTACTTTTCCTTTACATAAAACTTAGAAATTTAGATAAGTTTTTAAAGATCCATCTGTCAATACATATTACCACTTCAATGATTAGAAGCTATCATTTTTGGACGGAAAACATATCCTTGAACGAATAGGCATATAACAGTCATAATTTATACAAAATCAGCACAAATATTTTGTGAAATAAGTTACACAAGTTGTTTCCATTTTTAAACAGGATTTATGTTTAAATCGGTTTTGCGTATCCGAAATACAATATGATTTACTTGAATTACAACCTAGAAATTTATCCTAGTAACTTCCCACTTTTAATTATGTAACACCCAACTGACAATTTCGAGTAGTCTCTGTCATTATTCATAATCTTTCTTGGAAAAATTAAATTAAGGTCTTTATGAGGACTAATCCAAGTATTGCTTGTGAAAACTATGGTCCTCACATACAAGCACTATTCCTAGATAGTTGGCATGATAAATTTACGTTTTTTCTACTTTCATTTGTCACGATTGTGCAATTAATGTGTTGTGTATGCGGTTGTATTTCTTAATTGTTAAAATCCTAATTTTCTGGGATGAAATTAGTTGTGTTGTCCAAATATATATATGTGATCATTTGAGCTACCTTCTCATGATGAATAATTTCCTGTTAATAGATAGTTGTACACTACAAGGTTCTATGGAATTATCGTTCAAAAATATTTAAAACTACAATATATGCGTAGGCCAAAACTGTTTTGCTAAAAAGAACTTCCGTTTCACAGTAGTTTTGTTGTATAATAAAATGGAAAAAGGTCTATATTTCGTTTTAATAGCCGATATCTATTCAGTATGACCTGTTCACTAATAAAAATCAATATCACATAATTTTACATTACAAAGTCGATAATTTTATTTAATAATCGTGTCATACACAACATTATATGTTACTGAAGTACTTATCTTCACATATTTACCAACTTTTTCGCATTCCATAATGATCATCCTATTTAAATAAATTTGTCTGGTTTAACTATAATAAATCAGAAAATGAAACTAGGTAAAATGATTAAGCTAATGCTTTTATGAGACATATTTTATGTAGTTTTAAAAAAACATGCAGTTTTGTTTGAAAGATAAAACTATTTAGGGTTCATTAAAATACTCATAAGATTAATGTTTTACCACACCATAAGATTAAAATATTATCTCGCAGCTTGTTGCGTTAAACTTCAAACAGAAACTGGTAACGCCGTCTATAAAAAACAATAGAAGCTTCTCAAAGAATACAACAACGCCAATGGGTATGTGTGGTCATATTTGAATGATATTTTAGTGAAGTATGACTGGGGTTACTGGTCACTTGTTCACATTGAAATGGGCTAAAGATTCTCCAGGAGTATCTGAGTTATAGTGCAAGACTCACTGAAGTAAAGATATTTATGGATTTTATAAGTGAATATGTCGAAATGAACCAGCATGAAGACCTACTGGGAAGTACTCCGACGTGAGTCGAACCAAGCGGAAAAATATTAAAACGTCATCTTTTCAATCAGAGGGACTCAATTAAATCGTGTACCATATAACTGATGTTTCTAGGAGATCTTCCGCCGTCGAAGTACCCATTCTACCATACGTGATCCAGCTAGTGAATGCAAAGATATGGAAAACCCATTCAGTTGGTTTTAAGCCAAGAAAACCGGCCCCCAAGAACGAAATTACTTTGAAATCCAAGTCAGTATGTTCATAAAATTTTGAATGTTGGTCTGAATGTGAATGATTTGAAAGCGTTATCTTTTAGCCAGGAGGTTTATGCTAGTTGTACCAGTAATAATAAAGGTTGAAATACACGTTCAGTTCGAAAACGTTCACTCACAATCATCAGATTCGATACATTTGACTGACGAATATTTAGAGAAACGTGAGTCTACTTTACTTACTTACTTACTTACTTATGCCTGTTACTCTCAATGGAGCATAGACCGCCGACCAGCATTCTCCGACCCACTCTGTTCTGAGCCTTCCTTTCTAGTTCCATCCAATTCTTGTTCATTTTTCTCATGTCTATCTCCATTTCCCGGCGTAATGTGTTCTTTGGTCTTCCTCTTTTCCTTTGGCTTTGAGGATTCCATGTGAGGGCTTGTCTTGTGACGCAGTTGGGTGCTTTCCTCAATGTGTATCCTAACCACTTCAAGCGCTCCTTCCGGATTTCTTCCTCTGCTGGGATCTGGTTTGTTCTTTCCCACAGTTGGTTGTCGCTAATAGTGTCCGGCCAACGGATCCGAAGTATTTTGCGTAGACAACTGTTAATAAACACCTGTATCTTCTGGATGATGGCTTTCGTAGTTCTCCAGGTTTCCGTCCCATACAGTAGAACTGTCTTGACATTTGTATTAAAAATTCTGACCTTGGTGTTGGTTGATAGACAGTTGGTTTGAGTTCCAGATGTTCTTCAGTTGTAAATATGCTGTTCTTGCTTTACCGATCCGCGCTTTCACATCTGCATTAGATCCACTGTGTACATCAATGATGCTGCCCAAATATGTAAAGGTTATTACATCTTCCAAATCTTCTCCGTCAAGTGTGACTGGATCAGTGCATTCTGTGTTGTATCGCAGAATCTTGCATTTCCTTTTGTGTATATTGAGACCTACTGCTGCTGAGGCTGCTGCTGCTACACTGGTCGTTTTCTCCTGCATTTTTTGTTGCGATTGCGATAGGAAGGCCAGATCATCTGCGAAGTCTAGATTGTCCAGTTGCATCCTAGATGTCCACTGCATCCCGCGTTTCCATTCAGATGTTTACATCTTTATGATGCAGTCTATCAACAGGAGAAGGAGAAAGGGTGAGAGTAGGCAACCTTGCTTGACACCGGTCTCTAATTCGAACGAGTTTGTCAACTGTCCTCCATGCACGATTTTGCACTTTAATCCATCATAGGAATTCTGTATGATATTGACAATCTTCTCAGGCACGCCGTAGTGTTGAAGAAGCTTCCATAGTGTTGTCCTATCCACTCTGTCAAATGCTTTTTAGTAGTCAATGAAGTTGATGCAAAGTGATGAATTCCATTCAATTGATTGTTCCACACTGATAAATAGTGTTCCGATTTGGTCTGTACATGATCAATCCTCACTGAATCCTGCCTGTTGGTCTCGGAGTTGGGAGTCTACAGAGTCCTTCATTCTGTTTAACAATACCCTGTTGAAGACTTGTCCTGGTATTGAGAGAAGAGTGATGCCCCTGTAGTTATCACAGTTGCTGAGATCGCCTTTCTTTGATATTTTGTTCAGAAGTCCTTCTTTCCAGTCTGTTGGTACTTGTTCCTCATCCCAAATCTTATTGAAGAGAATGTGGAGTATCCTTGCACTTGCCGCTACGTCTGCTTTCAGTGCCTCTGCTGGGATGTTGTCCGGTCCTGCTGCTTTGCCACTATTGATTTGTTTGATGGCCATGCTGATTTCTTCAATTGTTGGTGGGCCAACATTGATTGGGAGGTCCGTGGGTGCTGCTTCGATATTGGCTGGGTTCAGTGGGGCTGGTCGATTCAAGAGTTCTTTGAAGTGTTCTACCCACCTGTGAGTCTACCTTATTGGATTGTTATTATAACGATGCAAACTGTAAGTAACCTAATAATTGTGATTCTAGTAATTAACTAACCTGACACGGCATCAGTATTTCTTACAGACAAAAGCAGTATATATCGAAAAGATGCATACACTAGTCGGTGTCCATCGTAAATTCCAATTCTTTTCTAAAAATGACCACACAGAAAATTCAGGGTAACAAGTGACACAATCACCAAATAGCTTGCAAGAAACATGTTTAATTTACCACGAATTTTATGTAACTCTCTGTCCAACTGGTACGGTGAAATCCAAACATTTTCGTACGTCAAAAGTATACAAACATGGCTTAACATTTCGTCTATTACTCGATATGTTAAATTTATCTTACCATGAATAACAGAACTCATAAAGCCACTATGCAAAATACTCGTAGAATGTAAAACATGGATTTGAGTTGATCGATAGAATTAAAATCTTTAAGGTGAACAAGAAATTTATGTAATCACTTGTTTTTTTTTTATATTTCTATTCACGAAAATGCTGCTATTGATAAAAGCTGTTGATTTCATATGTGGTAAGTTGTAAAATTGAGGTATGTAAATTGGCATACTCCTTTTCTCTTTAGAAAAAAATGGACATGGTAATGTTTCGTACTTACGTGGCTTAAAAAATAAGCACATTAAAAATAAACTACACTAAAGATCTAAACTTTATTCTTCTTTCCATGATAAATACAACATTGACATAACTTTGATAATTTATTTGTAAAAAAACAATTTATTGTCATTTCCTTTATTTTCATTTTGTTTTATTTCTTCGCTATAATTCAAGCTCCAAATTGTGCATTATCTTCTCAGTGTTCACCAACAGTAAGGAATTCACTCAAAAAATTCGATTCTAGAAAAAATAAATCAACAATTTCACAAACATTATCCTCTACAGAATCGTTTCATAATTTATTATTATGGTTTCATAAAATTTTAAAAGCAATTTCAATTTCATTGAAAAGTTTATCCTCGTCTGATAATCAATTAATATTTGATCAAGATAAAAATAGTTATAATGTCATGGAATCTATACACCCTAAATCGAAATCTCCAACATATATTAAAATGTCTACTGGTAATTCTATGTCGGAATGTTTAACACTATACAATGAATCAAATCGATGTCAATATGATAAAAATGCTTCAATAGATGGAATTAATAAATTACGTGATGTTTCAAATAAAGAACAAATTAGTTTGGCTACAAAACGAAAAATAAGTTTGAAAAGCGTTAAGTCTACATGCACTTCTATGCTATCACAATTAGACGATCTAACTATAAGTGATAAACTTATTACTTCAGATAATCACATAAAGGGAATAAATGATGAACCGATTGTACAAAATCAAACAGTTTATCCACGTAAAGTAAGTTCATTTTTAAAAGGAAATAAATATTAATATGCTCAGAAAAAATTTCAAGGAGAATCCAGTCAGCGAAATGAATCATCATAGTGTAAATTATAAACTAATTGATATAGCTAAGTAGTACTAGATAACTGGCTTTTCCACAACTTTATTTCCTTATAAATAAAATTTGTTCCAAAAAAGAACAAAGGATGATTAAAATTTGTTTTATATATTGCTTGAACTGCAAAATTGATTATATTGTCATCGATTCTAGTAAAGTAAACAGCAGAATACAACAAAACACTTTAAACATACTTTCCATTTCCTTGTGTAAGTTGTCAAATATTTAAAGATTAGATGTATACAGGTTTGATCAAGATGTAAAGAAAGATACACTAAATAAACCTCATTTCAATTTATATACATTTTGTTATAATGTACGCTGTTTCAATCAGCAGTTTTATTTTCAGAGTTGACTTCTTATGTGATAAATTGTGTACATTTTTACTGCCCATCAGTTTTCTGATCAGAAATTCTCACCAGTTGTTTGAATATCAATGTAAAACGAAAACATGTTACAGACCAGTAGAAAACTAACGGCGAAGAACTTTCCAATAATTTTGTGTATGTATGTCGATATACTATTGTAAACAAAATGTCAAACTTTGAATATAACAGACTTTGAGAACGGTAATAACGCCCTAAAGAAATGATAAGAATTACAACATGTCAACCCGAAAAAAATAATAGATAAAGTGAATACTTGCTAACAAATATGATCTGTAAAATAATGAAGATTTTGATAATTAATTTCACAATGAGTTGCGTGAATGTTATTAGTTTTAATCCCATTAGTTATAATTAAAATTCTCTTTAGATTTCCAGATCATCTTCTATTCATGCAAAACAACTTAAGTCTCGATGTCGATCAATGGAACATGTTTCATCGCCGAAATTTTCTGAGGATGAAAATATAAATACCACGTTACTGTATCAGCTTTTACTTCAGGTAAATTGTTTTTAACAGATCAATTTATATACTACTCGTCACCCAGCAGATTAACAAACTTCTACTCACTGAATTTTCATAAATAACTATTACCTGGTTTAAATTTGAAGAGGAATTTCACGTTGTAACTGTATATTCGAAATGGTATCATTGTGAATAATGTTCACCGATAGCAAAAAAGGGGTGTGCCTAAGTATTTTCCTTTGTTTTCTAAAAAAAAAACATTTTTCTTCGTAGTTGTAGATACAGCGTACACAGTACTTCAATTTTTGCAATTTTATCACAAATTAACTAACACAATCGCTGTAGTAGTCCAGTAGTATATCACAGTTATGAGAAATACCTTGCAAATATATGATGGTCAGAAGTATACTTGTTTAGAAATGTCCATAATTTGACTAGGAAGGAGATAGCTGAACATGAATAAAAGCCAGAAACCTTCTTAGAATATTTCAGTCTTGCTATAAGTTTATTAAGGCGCTTAAATATAATAAAAATACGACAGATTGTTTTGAAATATATATGAAATTAAACCATAAAATAACCCACTTAGAACGGGTACGCACTTTTTTATCCTGACAAAAATATTATAAACTGATCAGTATATGAGTTGGTACACATTCACAATTTATATAAAGTACCTCACCAATCTACATCACAGGTAGGATTAAAGCAGATGACCTCATGTATGTATCACTTTATAATATTCTTATTGCTAAAAATTAACTTCTACAAAAGAAAAGTGACTCCTGCATGCGTCCTCTTAATAACTATGAAGCTTATGGTAAGGATGAATATACTAATTTCTATTACCTTAATTTTTACTGAAAGGTTGTGTATTCTAATGTGCTAACTAGCTGAAATGAGGAAAACTTACCGATTGATAGTAAACATATAGGATTAAAAGCTGAGTCAATAACACTGGTGACTACATCGCAAATCTATCAATAGAATTAGATAAGCTCATAGAAATATATTTATATGACATTAGTTTTTTTACTCAATAACACTCTATCCTAAAACTTAAACCATCTATAAAAGTTCCTAAGGATCTAGTTTTTTTCTGGTACCACGTAAAAATATTCGTTTTATCTCAAGGTTTTCCCAAAAATAATATTTAGTAGTTTATCCAGTCACTTTTGAAAGTGCACTTCATTGAATACGCTTTACCACTTATATTTCGGCAATGAATAAAGTAGGTATGTACCCATTCATCTCATTAATGAGATAAACGTAGTTCGAAATGGAGGAATCTGATATGTTTCAGTCCGAGATATAAAATCTTTTCAAATATAACACCACGTAAGATTACTTCTTTTTAAAATTAGCGTTTCAGCGAGTTTTAGAATAGAATTTTTCCCTATTTATTCAAATATATAGATGAAAAATGTTGCAGAACTTATTGAGAAACAAAACCTAATATGTGATAAACGTGTTCGCCGTTCATCTTCGGTCGTTACATGAAATTATTAACAAGCAATTCAGTTGGTTTCCTTCTCTAATGAAAACCGATTAACAAGTAGTTCCCCATTACTTAACTTCTGCAAGACTTTATGTATATCACTTCATTATTTGCTAATAAATGTGTTCCTTATTCTTGACTCACTTAGTCCTAAACATTTTTTGCATGATTCTCATATTTGCAATTGACTTTACATTTTATCATTTATTCTTGCAGATTTGATTCTCTTATGTAGAAGTGATTTTAGCATGTATTTTTATATTATTCCACATGTTAATTTCATTAAGATGGTATTCAATCCCTTAAGATGATATGGTAATTCAGTGGTGAATGTATTACTTCACGAATCTACAATTTATTGACATTTCGCGTGCATGTGCAAATTCTAAATATGTGCATCTACTGAATACTTTTAAGTAGTATATAGTTATTTAGAACAAAACATGTACAGGTTCGTACACTATTTTAAATCAGTACAGTAAAAGGAAGTGACTAAGAGGAAGAATAACAGTAGCGGAAAAAATAGGAAGAGGAGGAATTACTGGATAATTCTAAATTTCGTGGAATCACTTTAACACAGTAAGAATATAACGGACGATTCAACTGATCAACGTCAAGAAAATCATTAACAATTATGTGCAATAAACAGGCAACTCAGAAAAAAGATACAAATTATTATTGAAAACTCTGAAACAAACTTCGTCAGGTGGAAATATCGATAACTGCCTGATCATAGATTAAATACTTCAAAATCTGGATCTTCATTAATTTGTGTATTCCGAGATTTGTACGAAATGATTATGTACAAATATTTCTAAATTGTTTGAGGAAATGATGGTTGACGCTTCATAATTTCTTGCTTTAAAACCATCATGATGTTAACTTCAATGCGATCATCTTCATAATAAATTATCTAGAATAAAGTACTGATCACATACACATAATAATCCTTTTTAGTAATAATTGCTTTAAATAATTCAGCCCACACAAATTTCATTACATCTTATAATTCTAACCAAAATAAACCTCACTATGGACTGATGCATGGAAATATTTGTTTCTGAAGAAAATCATATTTTAAACTTTAAGGTACAGCATAACTAGGTGTAACTTAAACTGATAATACTGCAAAACTGGACGTACAATAAATAGTTCTGAAGTTACAAATCAAATTGGTCAATCAGTTGTGGCAAACTCAAAATTTAGGTAAAAAAAAACCCAGTGCATCCGACTGCTCAGACTGATTTTAAACCACGTTATCCAAAATTCCCTACGACAGACTACGACAACCCTGCCTAGCAGAACGAGGAAGCCTGAACCTCTTGACATGTTCCAGATCAATAAGTAATGATTTCATGTACTGATGATATACCATAGTATATCCATAGTCTTCTAGTTTAACTTCATCTTAGCCAGTATAATAAGTCGAAATAAGTAGTTTATTGGTATATGTATCATAAAATACATGTTAAATACAATAAAAGCTTGGATATAGATTCAAGAACTGTAAATAGAATTCCTTCGACTGAAACACATCACTCCGTAAAAATAATACCGCCTTAACATTTATTTTTGGGCTTTTTGAAACAGAGAGATTGTCGTTACTGTTTTAAACTATGACAGATATGAAATTGTTGAAAAATAGATCGATAATTACTTGTTTAGTACTTACTATATATAAATGTTAGCATGAATAATCAGGTCAACAAAGCAAAATAAGAAACCTGAAAATGAATTTATTTTTTCTATACCTGAAAGTAAATTATTTTGTACAGAAAATTGAGTTCATTTTAATGGTTTGTTAATGCCGTCAGAGCATAAAAGAATGCAGGCATAATGAGTATAAAAATAATGACATGAAATCAGCTTTTCTCAGTGTATAGAGAAGATCACTGCGCAGGTTAATTGAGGTTCCACTAATTCACTCACAAAAATTTATAGGAAATAAAATTTTAAGAAGTTTGCTGTTGAGTAGTCAATGTATAAGGAATTATAACTCCTTTTAAAGCAGTTAGTTCACGAATTATCTGTAGAAGTGAAATAGCAGTATCTTCAACAGACATTCTAGCTGCACATGGGACATGTATGAAAACAACTCGATCAGGTGAATATTCCAGTGATCTATATTAAAAAACAGGATGAATTGATAGAAGTAATAACGGATAGAACTAACTTGTAGTATATATAGCCACATAAAAACCTGCCTGGATCATTTGAAATTGAACAAGCGATATGATTATCCACTAGTTTACTGTATGCTTTACTCAAATTCATGTTACAATAAAGGATTGGTTCACCATGAATATTAACACAACCATTATTTCCACAATAAGCGCCATCCATATCTGGTTTATCGTAACCACTATTATATGACAGAGTTTCCAAAATTGGCATCGTCACACTGGCGTCCATACCGACATGTATCACTAAATCCTAATGGAAATCAATAAGTTAGACAGATAATACCTAAAAACTATCTTATTCTGTTGGTATTAAAAACATTGACTGATAAGAACTAAACACAACGTAAAGTACGAGACTTTGTAATTAAAGACCATTAAGACAATACTTTACACATATTCTCCACATGACGAAATACTCCATAACATGTGAATATATTTTGGTCTGATATAGTTACCACTCCTTTCAAAAAGATTTAAATATCAGTTAAAATTGAAAGGACGAAGGAGTGGCAATTTTGACTTGAATTCCTACTAGACAGCACGTTGAGGGATGTGACCTAATAGCATGAAGTATCAGTGTAAAATATGCTGGATACCAATTAAGTTGACTGCCTATAGAGGTCTACATTACTGATTTCAGATATTAAATTAAAAAATCCAAAAATAATTATAACCACTTTCCATGTTCTTCAAAAACACCATGTTAAGACATGTCTAAAACCTTCCATTCGATTTTATGGGATTATATGAATATAAAAATGCTCTCTAGGTACTTTGAATTCAAACCATTATCAAGTGAGATGGTTGAAAGTATATATGCCCAGTCACTGCCTACTTCAACTTGCTGAGAATGGACGTCGGCTGGAAAAGTGATAAGTGTAACCAAATAGAGACATTTAATTAACAACGGTAATAATGCATTTCAGTATACTATATTGTCAGGAAATACTTAAAAATATGAGAACAATGATACTCCTAAGATCTTTTCTTAAAATTGATCGATCACTGAGCAGCGATCAATGTCATGTATGTGAAGTCTTTCTTTAGTGCTGATCAAATTCTGTCTATAAAGTTGCAATGAGGCTACAAATCTAAGTGACTCGATAATCACATGCATTATGTTGAGATGTAGGATAGTGGCTGGAGGTGGTCGACATGATATCCTAGACCTAGATTTTGCGCTATTTAGCACTCGTTAGCAAAGTGTTACCTAGTAGTGGGTAAACGAAAACCAAGACATTGCCTCGAAGCAACGAAAAAATATATACACTACATATCATCGACACTTCCAGTTATCACATCTAAAAATGGTCACATTAAAAATCACACCATTTTGATTTATTGGTAAGAAACAGCAGAAAGAAAATGGGCTTTTAAAATAAAGAAGAAACTAGCAACCTATATTCCACTGAAATCGCGCAATTAATAAGATCACAAAGATTAGCTTAAATCAGCTGCATAAAATCTTCAGCTTATACAAAGGTATTTTACTTACAGGGTTTTCTTTCCAGATAGAATTAACGCATTGGTCAACAGCTTTATACGTAACAGGAACATTCTCTATTGTGTGTAGTTTTATACCAGTACAAGCATCAGTATAAGTTTTATTCCAAATTTGTCTCAAACGATTAACAGCCAACGAACTAGAATTGTATTCGCAACTTCCATAAAGCCCAAAACCAGTGATAATTATGTGCATTCAAGTTTAAAACTTACATGAAAAGGAAGAATTAGAATAAGATAAACTAGTGAACTATTCAAAGAATTTTGTACAAACACTAACTTTACTTAGCTTACTGTTCCATACAATACATCAAAACTTTAATGTGCGGTGCATCAACCAGTCAGCAACAAAATAGAACTTCGTAAGTACCTACATCAGCTCAAGCTGCCATGTCAGATTAGCACAGAGATACAATTGTCGATTCAAACCTCATAGTGGTAGAGGTAGTAAAAGTATAGGAATTAATCGGAAAGATTAGGGTTTGAAGATGTTATTCAAGGAGTATAATCCAGTGAAACAAATTTGGAAAGAGACAAAAAGAGACATGAAGAATTCAGAAAACTAGGGTTTGGGAGAACACGAAGAGTGAATCCACCTGCGCCATTTCAAACGATTTTGAGCCATGTCATTCAAGGTCTCTAACCATAGGTTACTATCGTCTCGCGGATCCTAACCAGGTAGTCTACATCTACTAACATGGCTCAGTCCACTTGTCAGTGACTTCATGGACTTGTGCCATGTTTTGGTCTGGCCGCCTTTAGCCTTCTTCCAACCTACTCCTATACCATTGAGCATCGCACGTCGAGGCAGTCGGTGGTTTGGCATACGTAACACGTATCCCAGCCATCACAACTGTTGAAGTTTCACTACTTCATCAATTGATTTGCCACCCTTACCTAGTACCCGTTTCCTAACAACTACGTTACTTACTCGATGGTCCCAGGATATACGGGAAGTGCTTCAAAGACACCTATGAATATCCTCTACTCTTACCGGTCATGTTTCACAGCCATAAAGTAGAACAAAGCGAACTGCTGCGCAGTAAACACGTCCTTTGGTTGGTAGACGGATATCTCGCCTACGCCACAAATGAAACAAGTTGGCAAAAGCTAGTCGAGCCTTCTGTATCCGTGCAGAGATTTCGTCACACACAAGACCACAAAGGCTGATAAGACTCCCAAGTGAAGCAGTCGATGCGCTCAACTACTTCACTCCTTATCATTAGTTCAGGTGCCGATGCAACTCAATCCTGAAGTAACATTTTGCATTTCGAGGGAGAGGGTTGCATCCCGAATCTGTTTACATTGTTGCTTACAGTGGTCAGAAGGCTGCATTTTGTCAGCGTCTTCACTAAATAGAACTAGATCATCGACAAATGTCGAGACAAAAAGAATGACATCCCGCAATGTTTGGGGAAACATTGGGGAAAACTCAAAATTTCCACAAAACTTTGGGATCTTCTCCAGACCTGGGGAAATTTCGGGGTTTTCGTGCCGTTTCCCCCAAATAGGGAGACTGGGAAGCAACTTTTATACGTACACAATATAAATATGCGCTCCTCTGTTCGCGAATCCCGTGATAGTGGAACTTCTGAAGTCATTATCTGTGAGCTTACTATAGAATGTTGTACATTTATACTCGGTGTCATCTATCGCAGCCTAATCTGCTTAGCTGATGATTTTATTTTAGAGCACATTCAGCTAGGAAGTGCAAATAACAGATGCTTGATATTAGGAGACATTAATGCACCTGATATTCGTTGGACTGAGATAACCACGGAAGGATCTATAAACTCCTTTGATAGTAGGTTCCTGATAACAGTAATGGAGCATGCGTTAGTACAGCATGTATCCAAACTCAAACCAAGGTTCTTCTCTGTTGGACTTGGTAATCACTCATGAGACTGGGGATATTGCCAACCTAAATATTCTTTCACCGTTAGTGAATAGCGATCACGCTGTTTTGTCGTTCATGTTTAGAGCTAGTGACATGATATGCAATCAAGTTCAGCCTCAACTAAATGTATGGAGATTTAACATAGCCATTCAGGAGTTCTCTGCTAAGACAGATTGGTCAGTAGATACTAGCTAATCACTTGGAGCAGAATGGTCTACATTTAAAGGCAAGTCTAGTTCAGATACGTCCTTGTCTCTACCATGACTAGTACCACGTAGACCGAATAACCGTTCACCATGGATAACTAAACAAGTCAAGAAACATATTAGACACAGAAAAAAGCACTGGGAAATGTTCATCTCTACTGGCTTAGAACAGCACAGATCCAGTTCTTGTAACATTAGGAAGGCTTTTAAAGCGTTAATAAGTAAGACTAGACAGTCATATAAAAAACAATTGGTTAGGGATTGTAAATATAGTCCGAAACGGCTATTCTCGTATATAAAACGGAGAACTCAGAGATGCGATGAAATTCCACCACTTAGGATGCGAGAGAATCCGTTAGTATTGGTAAGAAATGATACTGAAAAAGCTGATGCTTCATCGGATTATTTCAGTAAAGTGTCTTCTATCAGTAACGAGGAAAGACCAACGATTTATTGTTGATGAACCCTGTAGTTATTGAGAAAGATAATGTCTTAAGACTACTTCATCATCTCAAACCTAAGTCCAGTGGTCCTAATGATAATAATCCTAAGATTATGAAAGGCCTATCAGATGTAATTGCTGAGCCTTCAGCGATACTGTTTAATATGTCTCTAAGGTAGTCCAGAGGGCCTAGAGACTGGAAAGACGCGATAATTAGTCCGGTTTATAAGACAGGAAGCAGAAATCTAGTTAGTAACCACCGGCCCGTTAGCTTAACTACTGTAGTTGTAAAACTAATGGGAAAAAATCATCCGGACAGCTGTTATAAACTATGCGGAAAGGCATGGTCTTTTATCCAGAGGAACAACATGTTTTTCGGAGAGGCCTATCATGCTTAACAAACCTTCTCATTGCAAGAGAAGGTTGGGCTGCGGCAAAAGATCAGAATACTTCTGTAGATATGATCTTCATAGATCTAAGTAAGGCCTTAGATAAGGTATCACATTCTGGTCTTAAATTCAAACTGGAACGTTTTGGAATCCATTATGAAGTCGTAGGTTGGATAAGTAACTTTCTCCATGACAGGAGACAAAGAGTAAAGGTAAACGGAGCTCTCTCATCGTGGGAACCTGTAAAAAGTGGAGTTCTCCAAGACACAACCCTGGGTCCTCTTCTCTTTTTACTTTATGTAAATGAATTACCAACTGTAGCAAAACCACCCGTTCTACTCTTCGCCGATGACATAAAGATTTGAAAACCCCTGCACAGCATGTCAGATAGAATAGTAATACAGGATGGTCGCAGCTCATTGGTGGCATGGATGAACAGGTGGTCACTAGAAGTAAATCCTAACAAGAGTGTGATGATGCAGCTAAATAACTATAATGATTCGTATCACTACACAATATGTGGGTCCGTGCTACCCAAAGTAAGAAACTATAAAGATATAGGAGTGATACTGAGCAGTGATCTCAAAACTGCGAGCCACTGTAAGGCTGCTGCAAACGGCTATAGTGCATTACAATTTGTTCGTAGGTCTTTCCAGTATTTGGATGATGAAATGTGCAGATTATTATCCCTGACTTTCGTGTGACCGCATGTGGAATATTGTTTTAAGTATGAAGCCCATATGCTGGAACGAGTCCAACGACGAGGAACAGACTGAGACAACTAAACTTATTTCCATTATCTTACCAAAGAATATATGGTGATGTAATATTGATCTAACACCGTACACCGAACGATGACATTGGTATTAATATGTCTTGTATTTTCCTTCCGTCTAGGACTGATCATTTGAGAGTACATTCGAAGAAATTTTAAAAACCGAGATCGAATTGTTTATGTCTGGAGTTTCGTTTATCGCACCGAGTAGTGAATTAGTGGAATTCTCTATCGGAACACGTAATATCAGCACCTTCTGCCGATATATTCAAAAGGAGATTGGACCTCCACAGTGTTACAAACTGCAAGGATTATTATAGGTTAGTAGACCACCTATCCTTACTATTGAAGACTACAGAAAATGTATATACAATATGTGTTGCGAAATAAAACCCATAATCAAAAATATATTCCGGATTGAACTGTGCCTAACATCAACTAGACCTTTTAAATTACATTACCTGAGGTAAGACCCCCAGCCTTTAACAAAAACGTATTTCTATAACAAAATAGTTACTTGGGTGAGCGATAACACAAACGTGACCTTGACGGAAAGGTAGCTGATTTCAAATTCACCACAGCATTTGCTTTAGGAAGGTAAAAAAATCAGGTTCGTTCAAAGGCGCCTGTCGTTTCGTTTAAACGCTTAATTTCTTCAACCTACATTTTATAAACAACTGAAAACATCCATGTTCATAATCACCCTAATTATGGAGGTGAGTCAAGTGTAAAGTGTTGATGATTTCACAGGTATTCAGTGTTTGACAACGCTTCTACCAGTAACACCTAATATATTTCGTTCCCGCCCAGAGAAATCAAAAGACAGAGTCGAGGAGATCGGAAGAGTATATTTGGCGATGACCAATATATCGGAATTCTCTGATCTAATCTGGCTAGCGATTGCGGTTGATGTTGAGCACGGCGTTACCACACGTGATCTGGTGCGGATGCCTGACCGAGCGCCTTCAGCTAGGTGAGTCCACTAAAACATATGGTCAGCATCCAATGTCGAAAACTTAGTGCTATTTATTTTGGGGATTTATTTACCGCTACAGATCACTCCCCCCCTAGTGGGGCAGTGATGACCCTAAGACGTGGCCAGCCAGAAGTTTAAACCCAACGAGTTTGTCGTTGGTAAACACTCTTCTGATAGCTTACTAAGTGTAGCAGCGTCTGGTCGTCTTTCCTTACTATATGGGACGGAGGTACAACATAGTAGAAAAAGAAAATGTACAATGAAAATTTGGGATCCTCATAAACGTCATCGTTCTTTTCCAGCCGTTCTGGAAAAGAAAAAAGAAAATGTAAGTGCATGTCGAAATACACTCGTATGTGCGTGAAAGCACAATGTCGGCGGAAAAAAATGGAAAATAAACTCATGAACACGTAATAGCGTTAAAAAAATTGTTTTTTTGTTTTGTTTTTTTTTTAAATAGAAATAAAAATATATAAGCATATTAAAATTGTTTTTTTTTAAAAAAAAATAATATAAAATGTCGAGAAGTGCCTTACGTGCAATAGTCGTTTAAATGTTCTGGAAATCTCACCCTTCTTCCAGAACGCGTCGTTTTAAGTTTACTTTCGGATACTGTCGAAGTATCATCGTGTGTGTTGGTTGTCGGATGAGGTATTATAAGTGTCGGAGTCGTGTCGTTCGATTGTACCGAAGGAAAATCGACGTGAATAGGATTTCCTTCTAAATACGCTGCTTTTAAGCGATCGATACTGATGCTATCGTTGGTTCCGTTCTTATCGACTATATAGTACTTAGATTCACGTTGAAGAACTTTGAAGGGTCCTTCGTATGCTGATTCGAAGGGTCGTCGATGCGAGTCTCGACGAACGAAAACGTGTGTACTATATCGTAAGTCAGGTTGAACGAAAACATCAGTTGATTGAGGTCGAGTGGAAGCAGGTTTAACTGAACGCATTGCGTTTGTAAGCCTGTTCGTGTAGGAGGTTAGATTCATTTTCATTGAAGAGGATGAAGGATCCACGAATTCTCCTGGAAGTCGAAGTGTCGTACCATAAACGAGTTGAGACGCAGTGTATCCAATGTCAGCTTTCACTGCATTGCGGATACCTAGTAAGACGAGTGGAAGAGCGTCGGTCCACTGTGAAACGTTTGTAGCTGATAGCGAAGCTCTCAGTTGTCGGTGAAAACGTTCTACCAACCCGTTTGCTTGTGGATGGTAGGCGGTCGTTCGGAAGCGAGTGATTCCTAAAAGCGTGGTCAGACGACGGAAAAGATCGGATTCAAACTGACGTCCGCGGTCTGTAGTAATGGTTGAAGGGCAGCCGAAGTTTGCTACCCATCGTTCGACGAAGGTGCGAGCCACTGTTTCAGCAGTGATGTCCTTGATAGGTACTGCTTCTGGCCATCGAGTGAAACGGTCTACGCAGGTTAAGAGATAAGAGTATCCATTTGAATCCGGTAAAGGTCCTACCAAATCCAGATGAACATGGTCGAAACGAGCATCGGGAGTTTTAAACGAGCCTAAGGGACATTTATTGTGTCTGATAACCTTAGATTTTTGGCAGCTTACACAGGAGCGTGCCCACTCCCTCATGTCTTTATTCATTCCAGGCCAGCAAAACCTTTCTGCTATAAGCTTGATGGTTGCACGAACACCTGGATGCGAAAGTTTGTGCAATGTGTTGAAGACATTGCGTCGATAATGTTTCGGCACGATTGGGCGATCCCTACCTGTAGATGTGTCACAAAGTAAGGTTTCCTTACCTGTTCCCATCTGTTTGATGCGTAGTTTAAGTGTTGTGGACGATAACTCGTGCTGAAGATCACTGTCTTCTTTTTGAAGCTCGGCGAGTTTAAGAAGGTCGATTCCTTGGAAACTGTTCAAGGAAGTTATGCGAGATAAAGCGTCTGCAACTACATTGTTTGCTCCAGAGATGTGTTGAATATCTGAAGTAAACTGCGAAATGTAGTCCAGTTGTCGAGACTCACGGGGAGTACTTGTCTGAAGGAGAGCTTAACGAGAAAGTGAGCGGTTTATGGTCCGTGAAAAGAGTGAATTCACGACCTTCGATGTAGTGTTGGAAATGCCGTACAGCACAATACATAGCTAGGAGTTCCCTACCGAATGTGCTGTACCTCGATTCGGTGTCTAGCAACCTTCTTGAGAAAAATGCCAAGGGTTGCCAGGAGTTGTTAACCCATTGTTGTAAGACTCCTCCGATTGCCGAGTCGGATGCGTCTACTGCGATGCTAATGGGTGCTCGGGTGTCCTGATGTGCGAGCATCGTTGCTTTAGCAATCAGTTCCTTAACTGTGGAGAATGCTTTTCGTGCGGTGTCGTCCAAATTAATGGATTTCGCATTTCCACGAAGTTGGTCGGTCAGAGGTTTCATAAGTAATGCGCATTTCGGTATGAAACGTCTATAGAAACTTACCAGGCCGTTAAACGTGCGTAATTGCTTGACGGTGGTCGGTTCTGGGTAATCCAGAATGGCCGCCACTTTGGTCCTAAGAGGTCGAATGCCTTGAGCATCGATAGTGTGTCCTAGGAAGTCTAACGAGTCGGTTCCGAATTGGCATTTCTGAACGTTTACAGTTATGCCATGTTTTTGTAGTCGTTCGAAAACAAGATCCAGATGCTTGAGATGTGTTTCTCTGTCCGGACTTGCGATTAGACAGTCGTCAACATACGCGCGTACGAAGTTGAGACCTCGAAAAACGTCGTCTATGAATCTTTGGAATGTTTGAGCAGCATTCCTTAGACCGAAAGGCATTCGCAAAAATTCATAGAGTCCGAAAGGAGTTATGATAGCTGTTTTCGGTATGTCGTCAGTAGCCATAGGGATTTGGTTATACGCTTTAACCAAGTCGATTTTCGAAAAGACAGTTGTACCTTTCAAGGTAGCTGTCAAATCGTGAATGTGAGGCAACGGGTAACGATCGGGAATGGTTTTCGCGTTCAATCGCCGATAGTCACCAGTTGGACGCCAATCGTTGCTGTCCTTTTTAGGGACCATGTGCAACGGAGATGCATATGGGCTACTTGACGGTCGTATGATTCCTAAGTCCATCATGTGATCGAATTCGTTTTTCGCTAACCTTAGCTTTTCAGGAGCTAGTCGTCGTGCTTTAGAGAATACAGGTGGTCCTGTAGTCGTGATGTGATGTGTAACATTGCTGGTTACACATGGTAGTTTCGGTTGAGTTTGTTGTATCCCAGGGTACTTATCGAGTAGTGGTTGATAGAGTGGGTCTATCATATGTTTAACTGTGACTGGGGATACTCTACAACCAGTAAAAGAAGTTACGCAAACGGACAAATTAGTGTTTCCGTCTACTAGCCTCCGTTTGCGCGTGTCGATGATCAGATTGTGGTGTTGTAGAAGGTCCATACCAATGATTGGCATAGAAACATCTGCAACAACGAAAATCCAGTGGATGGGTTTGCGTAAACCCACGTTAAGGTAAACGTACCTTTTGCCATACGTAGCGATCGGTTTTCCGTTTGCCGCCTGTAAGTTTAGGGTCGATTCGTGTAGTCGGTCGTTAGGATTTGCTGGGAGAACGCTAACTTCTGCGCCAGTGTCGACGAGGTAGCGAACTCTCGTTGTCACATCTGTGACGAATAACAGACGGCTTTGTTCGCCGGCTACGGTTGCCGTTAACGCGTGCCGGCTTGGAAGTTTCCCGAATTGCTTTTCGAATCAGTCGGTTTCGTGTTGGGAAAATTGCAGGGTTTTCTGCAATTTCTGGAAAACTTTCCATACTGGCTATGATACCAGCACCAGTCGGGTTATCTGTCTCTCGTGGTCTGGAGACAGATCGCTTACGAGAAATGCTTCTACGTGGTGTGCGCGATCTCTTACGGTCGGTACGAAGACTAAGATAACTCGTGAGTGTGTGACATAAGTCGGTTAAATCATTCTGAGTCGTGTGATGCTTTTCTTTGACTGAAAATACCTCGGTTGTAGGTTTCGTAATTTCTAGAATGCGGTCGGCAGATGCAGCTAGTTCGTCTAAGGCGTTGTTCTGGAACGAGACCAGAACTGCTTGCACCTGTTGGGGAAGTTTTGACAAGAAGAGTTGTTTGAATAGGCCTTCGTCGAAAGTTCTTGGGCCTATTACCTCTCTCATCCGTTGCAACATGTCTGTCGCAGAACCGTGTTGCAGGTCGATATTGTTGAAGAGTTGATCTAACCTTTGTCGATCGGTTAGGTCTCCTCGTTTAAGAATCGAGCGTTTTAAGATTTCGTAAGGATCGGAAACATCACTAGTAAACATACTAGGTGTTACGTACCTGTTGAATTCGCGCGGTAGTGCCTTGACTACTGCGAGGAATTGTGCACGTGTGTCGATCACGCCGTGCTCGGAGAAGTCGGCTTCTGCGTAGCAAAACCAGGCTTCGATGTTGTCGGGCCAGAAAGGCATCAGTTGAAACGAAGGCGGGGACAAAGTCTTAAGCTTGAGTACTTTAGGTGTCTGTTCAGTCATGATGAAGTATGAAGTACGATAATGAACGAGGGGAAAATATATATCCAGGAAAAAAACACGAAAAAAAATCACAATGTTTAAAAAAGTTAAAAAAAAATAAGGCAATGATATATAAAAATCCCAAAAAGGAACAGACTCACAGTTGCAATTAGGTGTACCAGATCACGTCGGTTTCACCAATGATGATGTCACAGGTATTCAGTGTTTGACAACGCTTCTACCAGTAACACCTAATATATTTCGTTCCCGCCCAGAGAAATCAAAAGACAGAGTCGAGGAGATCGGAAGAGTATATTTGGCGATGACCAATATATCGGAATTCTCTGATCTAATCTGGCTAGCGATTGCGGTTGATGTTGAGCACGGCGTTACCACACGTGATCTGGTGCGGATGCCTGACCGAGCGCCTTCAGCTAGGTGAGTCCACTAAAACATATGGTCAGCATCCAATGTCGAAAACTTAGTGCTATTTATTTTGGGGATTTATTTACCGCTACAGTGTTTTAGAGCTCATATTTGCTTAGAAACCTGACTACGGTCCATTTCTGACTTTACACATGGTGTATTTCACTTGCTTGAGTTTGCTTTATTACAAATAACCACATCAGGTTAACTAAACATTCACCCAGGTTGTGAGCAACAACTACGTCAAACTGCCAATAAACTAGAATAAAAGCTATGTCATAAGCTTAAACATTACGAAAACTGACGTGTGGCGGAAAATACACTGTTAATAGCTTGTAAATAATGACGTCCGAAGTCCTCGACAACATGTAACGTGTGCCCGAAAACCAGTTGTCCGACTTCTTCACCGTCCCATTTACTTTGTGGTGGCCCGTGGATCTGACTCCAATTTATATTGTATGATGAATGTTTGTATTCGCTGATTCTCGTTTATCATCGTCGACTTAAATCGCGTTAGCCAATAACCGAATTAAATAAGTCAATTAACGAGAATGGCCATTGAATACATATATTTTGTATGTAAAGTGAATGCGATAGAACAAAGCGAAATGACGCGCGAGGATGGCTGGGAAGCCAACTCCCTTTTAATTAAGCGTTACTCAGTATTTATAGGCAGACAAAATAAACTACAGACATGTGATGAATCATGGGATATGAAGTGTACACACATATACGCTCATGTGAAAACAGACAAGGCTAATAAGCGAATAATTGACAAGGTCAAAATATGGCTCAAGTAAAATGAATAAAATAGGATGTCCGGAAGTTAGAATAAGGTATATGGGCTTGCCATAATAACTGACACTACAACTTCCGTACTGTAATATGATCTGATAACTAGCAGTAAGCGGGATGAAAAAGAGAAGCTTGAAACAATATGAATCTGAAATGAGAGAAATTATTTTATATGCATAAGATGAAGATTTTATGTATTTTTAGAAGAATATAGGCGAAAATTCAGCTGGTAAAGATAGTTTGCAAACCACATTCAGTGGCTTTTAATAAACTTGAGGGGTTTTTGCAAGGAGATTATTTTTCTTTCGTATAAATAGGATAACATTCAAGTTGTTATTTGTGACTGTAAAACAGTAATTCTTCTGTGAAAATGTGGCGCTATTCATATCTAATACTTTGACGTCGAGTTTAATTTTTCATCTTCATCAGAACTACATGTTATGTCACCTGGAGTTCCTGAAGGCAAAGAATCAAAGTATTCAAGTGAAGTCATAATTAGTGTAGAAGACACACAGAGAACCATTTTAGGGAAGTCTACTTGGTGCTAGACTTTTTCTCTTTGTTAGAATCAATTCAAACTACTTTTCTGTGGAGATGACGAGACTGTATGTATAAGTGTTCTCTTTAACTAGATACTGCAACAATGAACTGTCGTTTGTAGGATTTTTTTCGATTATGATGGAATGTAAAAGACTTTAACTTCACGCTATGCTTTTCTGATTTCCATTTCAAGTTTGCCTCAATTCAGCGCTGTTGTCATTACTGACTGTCGCCTGTTACTCCCCCTATTATATATCAGTGCATTTTTGGCGCTTGCTGAATCGTTACTTATCCTCTTCTTTCGTTCTTCTCTTCTCCAGCTCTCCTCACATTATTTTGTATGCTCCTCCACCACACAGTTTATTCCAGCTAGAGGCGTACAGTTACACTGGTGCGTTCTGCGTGTGTGTATCTAATAGTTTTTAAGTTCTGAGCAAACATGAAAAAAAACAATATACTTGATTTTCTCGAGGCCTCGTATGTGCATTTGAATCCGTATTAGTAATTTCAGTTCCCACCAAAGTAGATTATAAGGGTGTGTGAAAACGTTTGAGAAATACACTGATTGGCCCAATGTATGATGTCTTCCGTCCAGAATATGTTAGTTGTCTTTGACTATATGGTCCTATTAAAGATGAAATGCTGTTGCATGAAAAGTTTCCAGATTCCTATGCATCCTTGCGAAAACTCTAGCATTAACACGATCTACATCCCCTTTGCCCTGTAGAATTCAAACTACGGTTTGGACTGTTGAGTATCATATGGGGTGGATCAGACACGCGCCCTCGCCAGTCAAAATCAAAACAAGTAATCGGGTAAATAGCGGTTCTATAATTCATTATAAATTTATATGTAAATCGTTACCTAAACAAACATTACCACCCGTCTATTCAACCAATAATTGTTCAATCAATCAAATCTAAATTACAATAATAAAGTTGACAAAAGACGAGGGAAAATTACCAGTCACAACAAATGAACGTTATTCTATTCTGACTGGACAGAACATACACAAAAGGAGGAGTAAATCAATATGGCTGCCGCCAAGAACAAGTGTCAAGTAAAACAACACAGACGCAGTTCGGGAAGAAACACAAAACCTAGTGAAGGCGTAAGAAAAACAAAAACTATAGTAAAAAATACAAATATTAACAATTCAAATGTAATCAAACGACAACAATGTACGACTAAGGGGATCAATAGGAACAAAGTGCAAGTATATACATGGAGGGATTTTCACCAACACACAAAGCATTCATAATGGATCTTACATGCCCATTTTTCTTCGATAAATGCTCACTTGATTGGCAATAATCTCATTTGCCTGTTCTCTAAGGTATGGTTATTAAGCAAATTATACAAACACAAAAAGTGATTTATTTCACATATATTCGTTCGGGATTCATTTAGTCTCCACTATATGCTTAAAACTTCTCTTGTCCTTGAGGGAAATGTTAGACATATTACTTTATTTCGTGCACGTGATCGAAGGTACTAGAATTTCTGTACCTCTGTTTGAAAATGTAGGATTCATTAATTACCCAATTTTAAATCAGAAAAATTAGTCGTTCAGCATGTTACTTATAGAAATTTTGCATTTTTCCTGCCTGTTGGTATTCCTCGTTCTGCTGACAGAAAAAGTCAAACTAATGACGAGTAGAACTTTATTTTGCCCACAGATACTTGTTCAGCCACACAATGTCTTTCAGCATTCATTACAAAAATAGTAGAGAATAAAGTCTCTATACAAAATAAGGGAATGAATGGATACTTGTGCTCAAATGTGAAATCAATTTAGCTAATATAATAACCTCGCAAGTAATGTACAGTACGATTATGTCTTCGTAAATCGAAAAAGCCAACGCAATCCATGTGAAAGCATAGGTTTAAGCCAAAAAGAGTTTAACTCGCAATCCATTTCTATGATAATGGTGTGAAGTTTTCGTCAGAGTTTGTATGAAAATAAAAAGGAGAAGAGGAAGACAAAAGAACACATTACGCCGGGAAATGGAGATAGACATGAGAAAAATGAACAAGAATTGGATGGAACTAGAAAGGAAGGCCCAGAACAGAGTGGGTTGGAGAATGCTGGTCGGCGGCCTATGCTCCATTGAGAGTAACAGGCATAAGTAAGTAAGTATGTAAGTAAAGTACTTTTACACATATAACCTGTGAATATGTCATCATATTTAAGTATTTTGCAAGATGATACTCTCATTTTCTAATTTATGACTGACCCTGAATATTTACGTTTGTCACAGTTAAAGGATAAATACACTCCAAACTTTAGTGATATTATTTTTAGCAGCTTCTAATATAAGTTTCCAAAAAGCAGTTGATGTTTTGAATGAAAAGAAGTAATTATATGACCTCGAGTTTCTAAAAATATTTATTTATCAGTTTATTTATGCGTTTTGTTTTCTTCAAAAGAAGACTGGTTCAGTGAAGTATCAATATCTTTTAAAATGTTCTGCACTTCATAGTTCTGCATTTAAACGAAATATGGGTTTAGCAGTTGAATTATGATGCTCGTTGAAGAACGATATGATGACTAATTTATGTAGCTTTTGTTATTTTTTCATCTTGGCTCTACAGGTTACTCAGTGTTCTCTGGTACCAGAGGAACAGTCATAATCAATGTAGAAACTAACAGAAACACTCACTAGACCAAGTTATCTTGCCGATTCAACTTGACGAGATGTAATTCTGATTATGAATAAGTCGAAACAATACTGTAGAAAACGAAGACTTGGAAAACGAAAAGCAATCTATTGTTTTAAGCAGACTCACACAGTGCCTTTGTTAAATATGAAAATCATCCATTTAATACATCAGTTGCATATCTTCCTTCAGTTAACCCTAAAATACTTAATTATTCTTCCGATCCTGCTGATAAAAGTGATGAAGCTTTATGGAGCTGATCCCCGAGAACCATCCTTCTAGGTGGAACTTTTTGACTTGTTGCAAGAGTAGGTCTCAAAAACGTTTCTTCTCTGGCTTCATCTAATGACACTGGCGTCTGTCCAGTGGCATCTTCTATCACACTCCTTATTTGTGTATCTAATGCCATGGAGCCAGTGATCATATCCTCCAGTCCTGGGAGTTTAACTGCAGTCAGTCGAGAAAGAGCGTTGGCTGGTACTTGATATAGAAGTCACAGCTCAGAAATATTGTCACCCAGCGCTGCAGTCTGTTGACCGTATAGACAGGGATTCGTTTCTTAGGACCAATAAACTGAAATTAAAGGTCTATGATCTGTTGGTAGAGTAAAAGTACGGCCGTAGAGCATTTTATGGGGTCTTTTAACAGACAAAATGATTGCAAAGGCTTAAATTTTTATCGGGCTGTGGTAGCATAAGAAATTGTCTTTTCGATTTGTCCGGAAACATGTGAGATGTCACTGCTTCGAATCCATGACTAGAGACATCATATGCAAAAATAATTCTTAAGCTAGGATCTAAGTGTATTAAGAGAAGCTTAAAGCTGCCTATTGATTTGAGTTTAGCAAACAGATCTTCAAGTCTTCTTAATAACTACGGTTGTTGCGGCCCATTCAGAGTAGTTGACTGGTTGGATTACATTAGCTTGTTGTAAACTATTCAGCTGTGGATGTTAAGCTGATACGTCAGAGTTTCTAACAATCGCATATTTGCATCAAGTGGTGCCTAATGGTGTAGTATAACTCTGTTAAGCCGATCATATGATATCGGCATCTTGAATGTGTTTCCTTTTTCCTTGTTGCTACTGTTATGATCTCTCTTATTACGACCCAACTACTCCTATTGCTTGGTGTTTTTTGAACATTTTGCTTCACTCAACAAGTCTCCAAATTAGAACATGGGTGAATAGAAACGTAATTATATCCCACATAAAAAAAGTTGAGTGGAAGTAGTAATCCCAATAAGAAAAACTTTAGTAAATTTATAATTTTATACAAGAAAACTCTAGAGTATCCGCTAGTGCTGATTGGCAGTGAAACGACTAATCAATGTGCCCCAACACAACCCCTCACGGAACATGCCCCAATCCAATCTATATCTCGTTAAGTCCAGTTAAAAATGTTCGATGGATAAATACGCTAAATTGTGGTAGCGTGATTCAATATTTTTATACTTAACACTGATGAGAAAACCCGATTGCTCACACTGAATTTTATTGCGAAGTTCGCGAAAAATTCACAACCCTTATCAATAATAATAATAATTATAAAGTAGAAATTAAGTAAATATTCCGGTTGGTTGAAGACATCGCTTTTATAGAATAATCGTTTTTCCATCAAATATTTAGACAATAATTAACAAACTTAACAAATAACAGATCATGAAAACACATAATAAACTGAATATTTTGGAAAGATTTAGAAGAAAATGATAGATGGATCAGAGATCTGTGTATGTAAATGATGTATCCAAATCTATCGAATTTAAAAATAAAATATTATATGAATATGCTTTTTATGGAAATGATTTTGTAGATGAGATATTTTCAATTGCTGTCCTCATGAAAAACATTTATGATAATACATATTGGAGCATTACTTATATGATCTTACCTAAATATTTTACTACATATAGTGATAACAATGATACTGTAAGATGAATTTCTGGAAATTGAATATGTTAATATAACACTACAGAAAACTAATATTAACTTGAAAATGAGATTTAATACTGTCAAGTTGGTAACTGTCATTGTACTGATTTACAGATTGACAGAGCATCATCAATATAGGCACAGATAGGCATTAGTCCAAATTGCCATACTTGATAATTTATTTATTATCATTTATTGGAACATGTTGCAGAAAATGATTTGCTGAAATTTTAAATCGTTCTAATTAATCTTTGAATGTTGGTAATTGTTCAACATAGTAAATGGTACCTCTTAACATGTCCCTTTCCCGAACTCAACTCCTAAGGTATATGAAGGGTGCTTTAGTTACCATATATTTGAGTATGAAGAGGGACAAATCATGTCTTTTTACCAACCTGTCAGTTAAACTAGCATAGTAGTCAAAGCAATTATTCGGACCGAGTTACGCAGTCACTTAGAATCATACAATCTGAAAACTATTGAGCATTATAATCATAATACAGTGTTCAGTATGGGAACGAGTGAGTTTATTCGATATGCACTCCAAGGCTATGCTTCTGCCTTTGACTTTAATCCAAGATCACTGCTACTAAACAAGTTTGCCAGAGTCAAAAACGACAGTCGGATAATCAACTAGACATGTTTTTACCTCTCTAGAAGAGAACAGTATATTAAACATGGATTAAAGTGTTCATCATCTTTACTAATTCAAAAAGATGCGCCACAGGGAACTGCTCTGTTCTCACTTTTGCAGCGTCAGTCATTATTTTAAGCCCATAATATATCTTATTCTAGTTTTTGAACAGACCAGTCTATTCATTCTACTTGAGTCATATTTTGACCTTGTTAATTATTCGCTTATCAGTCTTGATTGTTTTTATATGAGCGTATATGTGTTTACACTTCATATCACATGTCTCGTCACATGTCTGTAGTTTATTTTGTCTACCTATAAATATTTCGTAACGCCTGACTAGAAATGGAGTTGGCTTACCAGCCATCTCCCATGCGGGTCATTTCGCTTTGTTCTATCGCATTCACTTTACATACAAAATATATGTATTCAAAGACCATTCTCGTTAATTGACTTATATAAATTCCATTATTGACTAATGTGATTTAAGTCGATGATTGTATACGAGGATAGACGATAACGAACATTCATACTGTATAAATGGAGTCAGATCCACGGGCCACTAAATTGGTGATCCCTTTCGACAACATCGTTCGATCTAAACGACGACAAAACTACGGGCCTCCACTAAACTTTTTCTACATAACCTACCACCTTCTACAGAAAATACTTTTCTTAAATATGCAGATAATCTTTCAGTATGTACACTAATTTCCCCCGCTTCAAATCCCTTTGAGATGAATGAGTTTTGTCGCTCATTTTACGATGGTTTATTGGTAATAGCCTCAAACTTAGTCCTTCTAAATATCAAGCTGTTTATTTCAGTCTAAGACATGAACAGCATTTAAAAAACCTATTGGAATCCCATGAAGTTTGAACAACCGGAGATTCCGTAATAAAAACACTGTCAAAGGTCATTTATCTTGGTGTAACATTTTCCTCTGTTTTCATGTTTTATTGTTATCGAAGAAAGTTTTCCGTCTGACTGACTACATAAAGAGGCTACATACATTTGACATTACTCAATATTTACTCTTAAAATTTGTCTATTCTTCCATACTGCCTATCAATCTTTACTGTTCTCCGTTAATCTTTCTCAGGCTTTTGAGAAAAGCCTTTGCTGTATTGAGGAGAGTCCTGAAGGAAGTTAGCAGGGTGTATGGTGAATCTTTTGAGGTCCTTATTAATAAGGTTGTAGATAGACAACTAGTCTTACAAACTCCTGTCAGGTGTTGTGTTATTAGATACTAACCATCCACTTCATTCATATATTCCTTCTTGTATATCTTCTGGTAGAACGAGACGTA